GCGGGCGTTTAACATTTGATCGAATCATCGTTAGATACCGATCTGTTTCAAAGTCGCATTCAAACCAACTCTTGGAGGAAGGAGTGTGAGAAACATGAGAGGAATCATCTCTATTGGCCGTCTCTAGTGTCTCTAGGGCTGCTTGGGTTTGAAAGTCCTCCGGTGTGTAAAGCTAACACAGTTTGGGACCAGGGGAGCTGCCATCAGTGGACAACTGTGCCTGCGATGCCCCCACAGCAGCATGGCACAGAGCCCCACCTCTGATGCCACGAGTCCTTCCATCAACACCGAATAGAGCTCAGAGACACCCAAGCCAGCCCCCATAGCTCTGTTTAGTAGCCACGGCACGAAGGCTCTTAAGTGTCAAGAGTACTTGTCTTACCGAAAGGCTGGTTAAGGAAAACCTAGGAAGGAAAGCCCACGGAGACAGAAAAAAACTCTAAAAATAAAAGAACCGAGAACACACACCTGCACTGTTCTCTCGGCCTGCTGCTGACCAAGTGATGACAAATGAAAAATAAAGCCAAACACACAATCAATACGTATCTATGTTCGCCTTGCATCATGTGCACAGTGTCCTTTGCAGACGGATCACGTTCAGACTGCATCTGAGCCGTCCCTCCTGTCCCCCCAAGACGGACCTATCCTTAATGACGAGGCCTACCGGCAACCTTTCCGTTTCATGCACGCATTAATTAGGATGTTGTTTTCAGACTAACATTCGTCAGGCTTCAGATTTGTCCGTCTTCACTTTAGCCCGCAGCTTCCAATCAACTATGGAAAGACCCCGTCCACCTCCCCAAGTATTTGTTTTTAAGTTAACTTCAATTCAGACATTAAGTCTGAATCTCATAAATCCCATAATCTTGTTAATAACCTCCCTTCATGCCAGCCCTGCAGACATGTATGCATAATACATCGGTGATTCCAACACCTCTGACAGGATTCAGATTCCACGGGCAACAGCGTCCAAAGCGTATTCAAAGCATGTGAGAACGGCTCTGGGTATTGAGAATGTTCATGGATCATGCTTCACATCAGCCCGAGTGGATGAAGGCTGATTATATGGAAACGATGAGAAAAGAAGAAGCTTGGGTATTAAGGATGGCAGAGAGAGTGAGACAGAGATTGAGCGAGAGAAGACGTGAGCGCACTAGCCAATAAGATATTGTTTTAATGAAAAAGGGCTGTCATTTGTTAGATAATCCAGTGATGAAAGATCCCGCTGGAGTTTTCTGTCGTGGAGCAGTGTGGAATCTCTTGTCCTGTATTTTATTTCACTTGTAGCAACGTCTGCATACAAGCTGTGCTGGCAGTCATATGTGTGTTTATAGTATTTACAGTAGAGTAGCGTGTAGTACGTGTTCATATTAGGCAAAAAAACAGACTGGCAAAGTGTGAATACAAACCTTAGCCTTCAAAAGATCTTGATTTAAACGGTTAGTCATCTGGCGTTTCCTCAAAAAACAAGCGCCACTGTCAGAAAATGTGAATTGCGACTTACAAATAAAAAGAGGATTTCACCAAAATGATCGTTGTTCTTTGATCTTGACACATTAAATTCATCAGGCACACCCTTGTTAAAGAGTTTAAGCGTATGGATTGATAACTTAATGAATGAGGATGATTGGCAGTTGTGAGCAAACTGAGCCCTATTTTAAATTATTTCTAGGAGACACGGCTTGTTTCTGTGCTCTGAGTACATTTTCATTTACGTAATTAGAAGGATGGGCTGTCAACGTATAACATGTTTGCATCTTTGTGTGTTCAAAGTAAAGTGTACAATATTTATTAATGCAGTGGAGGCCAGGAGGGCCACTATCACTCATTCTCTCTTTGATGGCCTCAACTAAATGTATTCTACTGAAAGGGGAAAGTGGTACGGTAAGTACGGTAGAGGAGGTACTTCTATCAGACCTAAAATGGAGGGTAGGGGACGCAAGAACACACCCAGCAGAGAGGAGAGGGCGGCATGGAAGCGACCTACAAGGGATTATAAGGCTCAGAAAGGCGTCTTTCCCCAGAGTGCAACCATATATTTGTCAGGCAGATAAGTTATGCAAACACATGTTTGCATTTCAATGTGTGTGTGTGTGTGTGTGTGTGTGTGTGTGTGTGTGTGTGTGTGTGTGTGTGTGTGTGTGTGTGTGTGTGTGTGTGCTGGCTGATACACCAAGGAGCTATCTGTGCACCTGCGGCCCATCGGGAGCGCTTTGCCGCTTAAAGCGACTCCTGGATTAATGGGACATAGAAAACCACTCGTTGTGATTCAGACCCAATTAAGCTTCCAGTCACTGTCAATATCAACTGTGGACTTCCTCCTAATCAGAGCATTTTATAGCAACTATTACTCCCCGGGCACCGGGATCAACACCTCGTTCCTCTGTCAATCACTGAAGGGCCGTTTGTTTGTATGAAGCTGATGCTCAGACAAGCATGGATTTAGCTGTAAACACACACAGAAACACAAATACAAAGGACTCAATGTCTACAGAGGCTCATAATTAGACCTGCTATATAAAACATTACACTTGAGATTATGCAATTTGACAAAAAGGAATGTAACGTACACAACCCACTCAGATTTAATTTAATTCTCAGTGCCTTGTAGAGGCATTAAAGTGCCCCAACAAATCCGTGAATACATTATCCATCATCAGTGTTGCTGATTTTTTTGATATTTTTGTAAAACAGGAACCCGCTTTCACTGAACCTCTAGATTCAGGTGACCGAGGTCACGCTGCCCTCTGATTAATAGAGATATTGGTCCGTGGGCAGAAGCAGAAGGACAAATTACAGAAGGCCATAAGAGCACAGAAGGCCCGATAAGGCTAAATATGACCTTTGAGAGATCTGCGACACAGGAAGCAAAAAGGTATTGATCACACAAAATGATAATCTTTGATGGTTTCAACAATATGATGTTCGTTATTGACAGCTAGCGGGCAGCAGTTTTTCTGTCGTGAAGCTTGGCGATGGCCGAACCCGGAGTGAACCCCTCGCTTTCAATGGCACGTCCTCCCAGTGATCTGATTGGAAACACCCACTCAAGTACATAAGCGAGTGTTTTGGTCCCCATGTCCACCTAACAACAAGTGATCCTAAGCATGAATTGGAGGTTTTCCATCAGACAGCATAAGCAAAATGAATGCATATATAGCATTTCAAATAGCCTACCCTGCAAAAGAAGAGTCAAAGGTTATAACGCTATGGCCACACTTGAAATCACCTATTCAGGTGCCAGATGGTTCCCTGCAAATTTCAGGAATCATGACAGGGGGAGAGCATAAAGAAGGTTGTTTACTGTTCATTCCCACCCTGTCGATGCCATCACGGCTTGTTTTTTGTGTTCCAATATTGTGATATGTGCCACTACATGACATGCAAGTATATTAATTTACAATTCCTGAGTAAATCAGTCTCTCATCCTCCTCAGAGTATTTTTTCTTTTACGCTTTGAGTGGGATAATTTAGAATCTACAGCAGGAGCGACAGTCGTTTCCGCGCATACAAGGTAACAATTACACCTGTTGCTTCCATCACAACAGCCCTGGTTGTAAAAATACTCCCAACACATCAATGCAGCGGAATCAACGAGAACCCAGAAAACAAATGGAGAAATGTGCACTTTGTAGAGCAGATGATACGATGCTCTTGCGGCGTGAGGATGCGCAGCGGATTCAGCGCGCGCCGTGCGTAAACCACATGCAAGCATCCTTACCGGTCGTCGGTCTGCCAGTCCCCGAGCAACAGGTCTCGGAACCGGTACCGAGGGGGCAGCGGGAGCACCTCTTTTTCCAGTTCGACCATGGTCCTCCTCCTCAGAACCCCCCACCACCCCCCCTCCAAAAAAAAAAAAGAGAAACAAATATCACCGCAACCCGCACCTCCACACACCAACTCCGCTCCTTCTTCTATTCAAAATGCACATCAATAACGAACGTATCGACACACCTCACGGCATCGTTCTCGACCTCACTCCTAAACAGGATTAAAAACAAAAACAAAAACTTCCTCTTTTTCCTTTGCCACCCGTCTCCACAGAGCTCTACTTTTCTTGCCACCGAGGCAACAGGTCCAGGATGATGCGGGTCGTGCGCGCGCGGGGGGGGGGGGGGGGGGGGGGGTGAAGGTTCCACTTGGGCCAGTGACAGCTGGCAGAGCAACTGGTTGTTCTCTCAAATCCCCAGCAGCGTCTCTCCGCGCGTAAAAGCTTCTGCGTGGGAGTGTGTGAAGCAGCCCGGCTGGGGACCGATACCGGTTCATTCCACGAGCCGCCAAACAGCAGGAATAACAGAAACACTCCTCTATACAAACGTTTCTTTCTTTTGGTGGCATATTGGAGAGGAGCAGTTTGAGGAGGCACGTGTGACTCGTCTGGTTGAAGATGGCTGTATTTCGTGTCAACTATAAATTGATCTCTGTGGTAGTTACAGAATAAACGGTTAAATCAGGAAGTAGTCTATTTAGCCTAATACACCCCCATCTCATGAAAAGTAAATGGAAATATTATTTTATATTTCCTTCTATATATTATTTGAATGAGGGCTATTATAATACATTTACATTTCATTCATTTCTCATTGGAAGTAATTAAAAAACACTACTGTTATAATTTGCCGACAAACATAAATTCTTTATTGCCGTGTTGTGACATATTAGATTGCCTGACACAGTTTTAATCTGCTGTAGAGCCTATTGTCGTAACAGAAGCTGTAATGAAATTCAAATGTGCTTAAGAGGACTGTTGACTCGCCACAGACGACAGGTGTTATTCAAATCAACTGCCGACAATTAATATTAATTACCCACAACTGAGCTTTTATAAAGCAGCACCTCAGTAAGCTCCAGACAAAACCTTCCCTCAGAGGGTCAACGTGACTTAATGCCCATCGAACGATGGGAAATCCAGAACAATACACTGAATGAGTACATATTATCATAGTAGTGAATATATTTTAGATAGGAATGGTTTGTGCCCTCAAACATTTGAGCTTATATAAAACATTTATTGCATGTTTTTTTTTTTTTAACTCCTTTGAACTCTATTAGGAAAATATCATAGCATTTCATTTAGTTTTACGGTGCCTTTCCTCCGGTTTTGTCTGTTTTGCCCTCTGGTGGTCATCACGCCACGAGGACACACTCTGTAGACAGCTGGATTCATTTATCGGTTCAAACAATAACCCGACAACTACTTGTCACTGATACGTAGGTTAAAACACCAGAAGACAATAACATTTATTCATCTTGAGCCTTTGGCAAAAAAAATGAAATAACAGATTGACGGAGAGGCAAAACATTTTGTTTTAAGTGGGTGGGCCTCGCTCTGTAGCCATGGTAACAACAAAAAGATTCTGAGCATGTCGGAGGAGATTTCAGAGAGTTCATGTGTTTTAAACCTCATTTAAACCCCATTCAGTCTTACATCATCGCAAAATACACTGAAGACAATTTGCAGAGACTGAGAAAAACAATCAGGCTGCATCCCTTCATATCAAAAGCTATTTTCCTCACTGCTAAAAAAAATAGCAATTTATATACAAATATGAATAAGCATAGTAAAAAAAACAAACAATCATCCTTAGAAAAAGTCATATAAAATATGTAAAATCTTTCAGTCAGTGTCAGTCAGTCATTCAGTCACTTCCGAGTTCTATTCCAATGGAACGTTGACTGAGGCCAAAGCGTCCACAGCCCAGCCGGGGTACTGGTCACGAGACGGGAACATTCGCTTCATGAAAGTCCGTATAAACTCAGGGAAGCAGCCGTCCACGATGCTCTGCCTCACGGAGCACATCAGCGTGAGCTGAAAAGAGAAATGTTGGATGATTCAAAAGAATTCATGTGTGATTATAGTGAGACTTAAAGATGGCGCAGTTCTGCAGCGGGAATGTTTGCATGCTACCTTTTACCACGGCAGCATTTGAGGGTAACAAATTGTGTAATTTAACAGTAGAGTTGCAGCCCAAAAAAAGGCCAACCAACATGGAAAACCCAACTTTAAAGCTGGCATGAATATATAAAGGTTTAAAATAATAATACACACACACACACACACACACACACAAAATGTGTCACCCTGAGACTTAGACTTGAGACTAAGAAGAAACTCGAGACTGGTTGATATCTCCTAGCAGCAGGATTGCAGATTTGCCCAGGAAATAAGAACACCTGATTAAACACACTTATTCAGATACGTCTTCTTGAGGGGAATATATACTTTTGTAAATGTATTTTGTTGCCTTTTAATCATTATTACATCTTAAGTCATGCAAGTAGTTTAGCTGTTACACGTCATTTCCAACACTGACCTGGTAGGCGATGTTGTGGATGGTGATGTGATGCATGGCTGCAGTGTCACTCTTGAACAGAGCATGGAGGTAAGCCCGGCTGTGTCTGGAACAGAAGACAGGCTCATGTGTTTACATCAGTACACAAAATACAAAATGTCACAGGAAATGCCACAATGCTGTTAAGTCAATAGTGAAAAGACATAAAACTTGAATTAGAAACAAATGCACAGGTAAATGTAGGATATAGCGCCACACATAGTGATTGTCTTTTGAATTAAGGTCAAATAGGGTTTCTTGTACACTTAAAAAATATAAATATCTGTTGCAATATAGAAATATGACTTATCACATGAGTCAAAGCCCTGAGAACACACTACAATTTAGCTTGAGTTTGTTCATGACTTACTGCCGGCACGTGGGACACTGACATTCTGGGTCTATGGGCTGGAAGTCTTTGGCGTACTGCTTCTGTTTAACCTGGAGAGATCCCCAAGGAACCAAGGCCGAGCCAAACCTCTGCAAAACAAAGAAACATGACGTCAGAAACGGGTCTTTCATATGAAATGAAAACTGCTAAATTACATTTGATAAGGGGATAATCCGTGTGTGAGGTAGAGATCACTTACTGCAGTGCGGGTGGGGAACACGCAGTCGAACATATCGCATCCTAGAGCAACACACACCACCAAATCCACAGCATACCTGCAGATTATGGGGATCATACACACTGTCATTTTAGACAACCATAAAGCCCAGGAAAACCCCGCCATTCTCATACGATACTATAAGGATACCGAATGAGCTCTTGAGCACACAAAAGTAAATTTACTCTGATTTCGGTTGCACGCAATGCAAAAGGTAGAAGTTGCAAAGGTGAGCTGAGTAAAATTGAAGTGATTTATGTAACACGATGCTCTGGTAGGCGAACGTACCCCACACCCATGAGGTATCGAGGCTTTTCTCGCGGCAGGTGGTCGGTGCTCAGTGTGACCATCCGCCAGAAGTCGTCCTTCTCCTCTCCTCCACTCAGGCCGCCAATGGCAAAACCGGGAACATCGCGTTGAGTCATTTCTGCAGGAATGGGAGAAGATATCTAAAGCACAAGTTGAGCCCTCATCATCACTGTCAAACTGCTGCGGAGTGGTGAGTTTATCACTAGACCTGGCACGTAAGCGCTAACATGTATTTCCGGCTCATTTGCCATAATGATGACTGCAGCTAAAATATAGTCACGCAATATTCTATTTAAATCTGACAGGCAGTTTCCTTATTCCTTTCAATGTCCTGATACTTTGAACAACACTTACACCGTTAATGGCGCGTGACATCTGTTTGATTCACACATACTTCTTCTTCAAATGAAGACATAAAGGCTTATTAACATTCATTGGAAAAATGGGATTGAGAGAAACATGACGTGAACTTTCCAAATAACTTTAAATAATTGGATTTTCAAGTAATTTAAACGTGTTCTTCGTAGGCTCCATCCAAATATGATCCCATCTTTGAGCCTACTCAAAATCAATAAATAGCGTATATGACCACAGGAAGGTAATCAAAAGTAGTAAAAGGCAATTATCTTTACCTTCTAGACAGACCTTGCGCAGCTCTGCATTCAGCCCTCCCTGGATGATGGCAAAAAGGTTCTGTTTGTCTGGATTTTTATTGGCTGCAATGCAGCGGTCAAGCCAGCGAATGGATCGGTGCATGGCCTCTTCCACCCGAGGGCCTGTCACCGTACTGCTGACCACATCATCCAGCTGCATCATGATATCCGATCCTGAGAGAAAACAGAGGGGGGCTGTGTTTTAGCGAATGGGAAACTGAGAGGAGGGTCCTTTTTAATTAATTTATTGATTCAAATGGTTTTGCTCCTTGCAGACCCAGACTGTTCTGTATGCTGATGGACTTCTCGGGACTCAAGAGGATCTCTTCGCCATCGTAGGGGGACTTGAACTTCACCCCTTCCTCTGTGACCTCTGAGAGTTCAACAAGAGACACCATCTGAAACCCCCCGCTGTCCTGTGAGCAGAGGAGAGTGAACCATAACATTTACACACAGAGCTCACCGACTACCTCTTGGTCTTTTATAAATGTGTATTCATCACCTGTGAGGGGTTGATTCAGCAAAGCTACTCACAGTTAATAGATTCCTCTTCCAGTTCATGAACCCATGTAAACCATTGGCTTTCTCGATCAGATCAGGTCCCTGCAGGCAGTTGGATTAGAAAAACATAGTTGGAGATGAAAAGTGGAATTGATCTGGCCTCTAGCGCTGCCGTTGTAGGGTTGCCTACCGGTCTCATCCCCAGGTGGTACGTGTTTCCGAGACAAATCTGACAACCAAGACCCTCCAGCTGATCCACAGTGATTCCTTTCAGGGTCCCCTGAGTGCCGACAGGCATGAACACCGGGGTGCTGACGGCACAGTGTGGCAGTATTAGATCACAAGCTCGCGCTTTCGTCACTGAGCATTCGGCAACTACTCGCAGAGCGAGTGGAGACGCCGCAGACAGAGTTTTCTTCAGAGACATGCTGTTCTCTAAAGTATTTACATCAGCTCCACGCTCTGTGATGGCAGCCATGTTGGAATTGGGACATGTGACGTTGGAGCGACTTCAACTGACAAATCGCGTCGACCAATTGGAAACGAGCAGTTTGTTGGACGTGAAGACGACGCCTTTTATTATTATCCAATTAGAATGCCAGCTTGATGGAGTGACAGCAGCGTTTGCCAATTGACTGCTTGGTTTTCCAGACAAGAGGCGGGCCTCCACTCGCCGGGTTTGATCGGATGTCGTCTCCCCTGACCGGATGGTGTTTGTGTACTGTGTAGAGGAAGTTTTGTTTTGCGAGTTTTCCGTCCGTTTCGACTGACCGGGTGTTTAGTTAATGCGCTTAAAAGAGCACGAAATTGTATTAGTGTGAATTGCATTCCCGGTAACCGCTCAATTGTCCAAGAAGAGACTAAAAGTTCGAGCTGTTTGAAGCGGTCGGACTCCCAACGTTACACCTCAGAGTAACCCGAGAGCACCTTCCTGCTAGGCTAACGTCACATTAGCTAACTTAGTTAGCGCGGCTAGCGGTGAACTCTGGTTCGCGTTGTGTTGAAGGAGCTCTCCGAGCTGAATAAGTCATGGGGAACCGGGGCATGGAGGACCTGATTCCCCTGATCAACAAGCTTCAAGACGCTTTCAGCTCCATTGGCCAGAGTTGCAATTTGGACCTTCCCCAGATTGCTGTGGTTGGTGGTCAGAGCGCTGGAAAAAGCTCGGTCTTGGAAAATTTTGTCGGCAGGTAAGTTAGGTGACCTGCTTGTGTTTTAATTGAATTGTCACGTTAAAGCAGTTAACGTTTTTCGTTTTGTTTCCCCCCGTTTCTTTCGCGTTTTTAACCTTCTGAAACGGTTCCATTTGGTTGTCCGGCACCAACGGCACTTTGTAGAGTGCAGTCTGCCATCCAGCTAAGCTAATGTTAGCCCCTCTGCCAGAACCAACGTCATACAACCTTTACGTTACGCACTTGACGCACAGCTGCCTTGAAAGTGTGAGGTGGCTACAGGTTGAACATCTTGACGCCCTTCACGTTCCAAGCCAGTGGGCCGGGAGGAAACTTATTTCCTGAGGTTTTTGTATACCTCGACGTACGCTTTCCTAGTTTTCACTAGAAAGTGTCTAACCAACAATGTGTGTAGACGTGTAAGAAAACCTGCTCTCTGCTCATGTGGGCTCTAAAGAGATGTTATTCTGACCATTGCAAATACTTATGCCCTCTAAAACCATCAGCACTAGTACGATTTTTCTAATGAATGACTTCAATTTTGCTTTCGGTATTTAAATTGCACAACGTGGCTATTTATTAAGCGTAAATCCCAGGGTCGTTTGTCTTGTTCGGCCATCCCTTTATTCTGCCTTAGATCTGAATGGGAACTTGTCCCCGTGCCACTGTTTATGATTCCAAGCCACACCCAGAAATTCCTCTCGTTTTGCATTGGTTTGTTATTCGGTCTGTTTCATAGGAGCTTTATCGACATTGTTGTTACTATGTTCATTCTTCCAGATGTGGGCGTACAAACATTGTATCAGATAGATCAGTCAAATTGGAGGCCGAGTGAGCAGCCCCTTTACCTACGGATGTGGATTTTGTCACACGGAATCCACATCCACTCAACAGTCTTCTGTCAAAATTCTGTTAAACAGCACAAGCTCACATCCGCCGCAGTCAAAACTTCCCTTAATTAACATCTTCCTCTTTTCTCCGGGTTGTGGGCAAAACTTGAGAACAAGTTTTATGTCTCATCAGTATGGGGTGAGATCACCCTATAGATAAAGAAACAAAACAAGCTCGCTCCAAAACAGCTTGTTTAGCAGGTTTCCACCGCATTGACTGACACTCGTTGTGTGTAACCCGAAGCACACCGGGATCACGCGCACTTCCGCAGCCCAGCCATCACAGGCAGGCAGTGCGTTTGATGTGAAGATGGCATGCAGACACACTGGCAGGAGCACTTCATGTCTGCTGTCAGGCAAACACACACCCAGATTAGACTACTACTCGGTGCACATAAATTCAGATGAGTGGGGCTATGCAGTGTGAGCACTCAACACATACTAGCTGTAGTTAACATGCCACGGTCCACGGCAACCTCGATTCCACTGCCTGTGTGTTACTTAAGCACTTAGCATTCACGTGCACTTTAGTGTTTACCTTTTGTGTCTATCTTTTCAACCAAACAATGGAAAGTACAGCACTCACTCTTTACGCCCGTTGCTAAAGTGCAGGTGATCTGGGGCTCCGATAAGGTGGAACAGTAGGTGAAAGACTCAAAACTACTAGGTCAACTTGTACTTCAACCCGGATGTGCTCGGCAGGTGCTGCCTATCACCGTAGCAACCGGTGCGTTAATGTGGAGATGAGTCGTAGTTGGGCATGGTAGAGCTCTGGACAAGCAATTACCTAATCAAATGCTTGTACAGGCATTTGTTGCACAAAATGAGTTCTGTTTTTGTGCTGAAGGTTAATGATTTGCAAAGTCTCTGGTGACAACAGTGTTTAACCATGAGCACGGAGTTGCTGTTACTGCCAGTGGTAATGGCTTCTGTATGGTTCCCGCATTGTACTTTGGTGAGTTCCATGGTGTTTGTGAGAGACACTGGTTTCAACCCTTTGTTCACAGGGATGGGAAAAAATCCTCTTTCTAGGGCCCCCAGCGACAGTAGAAACAGTAATTTAGTGCTAGCGCAAACATTTCTGTCTCTTGCCTGATCTCCATGCAGATGATCGAACTGAGAAGGGGACGTTGTAGCAGGACCATGACTGCGGTCAAAAACAATATCAACTTTCCTTGATGTTGTTTGAGCATTTGTACGTTAAGTTTTCTGTATTTGATTTTTTTTTAATTTGTTATATATTTGTTAAACCTGTATAAGATAAGCATATCGTTTGTTTTCATGGCCAGCCGAGTGATGCGTCACTTTAAGTGTAAGCATCCCTTAAAGTGGATGTGTGTCACCAGTCGTGTTTATTTCGATTCGGGCCTTTTGCTGCTCTGCGTTCTTTGCTGGGCAGAAGATCAAATCGCTCTGACTCACCAGCCTCACGACTTTGTTAATGTTTCTATCTTTTGAAAGCATTTGTTTATCTCTTATATTGTGATGATGGACCTTACATTTCGACACATTGGACATCGAACCGTCATTATTAATTTCAGTAAAAATCAGTGGCGGAAGCCTGATACTGCTTTGTCATGACAGATGCATGTGTCTTTAATAGCCACAGTGATGACTGCATTCCATTCAGGCGTGTCAGCGACCTGATGTCCCTGATAAACTAAATGGACCAGTCAGTGGATGCTGTGCGAAGTGTTCTTCGTTAACCTTATACATTTACTGGCTTTTGTTGGATGGGTTGATTGCATTATTAGATCCTTATTAACTCTCACTTTAGAGATAGGCCTTTATTATTAGCGCTGTATTGCAATCTTTTGTCGAGCGGCCATGCCACTGCCCCAGGAGGGAGTGTAGACGTTGTATCTACTCCAGCAAGCCGTTGTGGGTGGAGGAGGTTGTTATCAGATATGTGGCAAGAACACTACTAAGAAACCGGGAGTGTTTAAAGCTTTGTAGCAGTTTCGCTTTAACGCTGTACTGGACCTGGTGATCCTTGTGAGGAAGACTGAGAGACATGCACACAGCAAATGGATTGTCCACTAAGCAGTTGGATTTTGGTAGTGTTTTAAAAAAACGGGCTGCCAAGTGCGGCTTCTCGGTCCACACAGTGGTGGACTGCGGCGCCTACGTGCGGGTAGCCATAATTACACATCCGTCGCCACACCAGGGACCAGTGCAATAAACCCCACCAAACCACAACCATGTTTTTGTGTACTTCGCCTTCCCGAGGGAATGAATCAGACAACCTCAGAGTTTCCCACCCCGATTTTCATGTTTGAAAACGAGCCCCGTCAGGCATCTATGGACTTCAGGAAGAGGAGGATCTGACATGGACAATGGCTCCTTGGAGCCAACCTGCCTGTTCGTAGGAGGCAGCGGCTATGGGGGGCTCCGGGCAGGGGGAGGGGAGTTGGCTCTCCTCATCTCTCCCTGCCCTACTCTCCATCGCTTGTGCTTTTTCTTGCCAGGCAGGGATGGAGGGAGCCTTACAGACTGACGCTCTTAGCTTGGCCATTCATAATGCATGAAACGATACACAATCTGCTCGGCCTCGTCTATCATTTACAGCGCATCAATAATGGAATCCTGGCCTCGTGGTGCCGTTTATCCAATTCTATGAATATGGATTAGCGCTCTCATTTTCGCTCTTGCTCTCATTTTTGATCTTCTCAGAAGAACATTTGTAAACCAACACTTTGTTTCCACGTAAGCTCTGTTGATGCTTCAGTTTGTTTGTGGATCTTTGACAAGCAGCCACTTGTTGAGCCAATGAGACATGTTTGACTGCTGATAATCTATTGAGAGTTGCCTGATACTGGAGATGGCCATCAGTACATTAGCAGATTCTCAAGGTCCTTCTTGCGCCGACCTCTGGGCAGCACCGTTATTTATTTCCTTTCGCTTAGCCGATCGCTGCATTGGTTTCCGTCTCCCCCGCTGCCAGTCCTCGTCCACCGTTCTTGTGTACGGTCCTCCGTGCTCCACATTGTTTGCATGATACAGCACCGGCGCTGCACCGCAGACCTGTTGGCTTTCTGCTGACGTAAGGAACATCCAGAATGTTCTCCAGTATGCCGGGACGGCGGCCTGAGCGTAGCGATCTGCATGTCCAACGGTAGCGGCTCTCACTCTCCGCCCTGCTCTTCCCCATCCTTTCCCCCTTTCCTCATGCCTGTAGGGGGGATAGATGGGAACGGAGAATGTGGGTCGGCGACATGCTCTGCAGTGATTTTTCCAGGACTTGACCCAGTGATTACCACCAGATGTGGCATGTTTGTGGAGGGGGTGGAGGAGCATCACTTGATGGCAACTTTGGTCGTGACTCATGGAGTTGAACATTCTTCAGGTGCCGTGTCACGTTAAGGGGAACAAACAAGCCAGCTCTGAGAAAGTTCCTATAACCCCCCCCCCCCCCCCCCCCACTCCGAGTAGGGTAGTCTGTGACGGTAGTGCACTGTTGCACAGATGGCATTTGCCTGCATTTGATGAGTCATTTCATGCGTTGTGTAATGCCTTACATTGCCTTCAATCCCCTCACCACCAAATAAGAATCTCTTCATATTCCAGTTTGTAATGCAGCAAAAAAGGAAAAACAATAGCTGGCATGGCACTGTAAGTAGCATGATGCAAGTGTTGAACTGCACACCTAAAAACAACGTGAGGCCCCAGGATGCTTTGGTCATAAGGCATTATCGTAGGTGATCGTCATGTATTGACAAAGCCAAGGCTCACACAAAAACAGGAGCTATAGATCATGTCGTTTAAATGGGCCATGAAGTGAGTAATCAGGGGTCAAGTTTGTCAGACAAAGAATCTTCCCAAACATGGTGGTTTTTAAAGATGCTCTGGGGGCGTCGTAAAAATTGGCTAAATCTCTTCTCCTTCGCCCTCTTTTCAGTTGGCAAAACTTGCTCATCACTGCCAACATCTGGTAAAGAGCAGGACAGACAGTTTCCGACGACAAATGTAACTGGCTGGTTGAATGTTGACATGCTGAGTCATATGGCTGACGTCTGGAATCTTAAAGGTTTTCTTTGAAATATTGCAATTACAATTAGTCTCATTTGAATTGCAAAAGTGTATCACTATTCCAGTTCCATCATCCCAGACGCCGCCTCGCTGCCGGAGGAGGTGCTCCATTATTTACCGTCCGGGGAGCAGCTCTAGGTTCTGTCCTTGATATTGTTTTTACAGTCTGTCTGTAATGCCTCAGAATTCTATTTTAAGTTGGATTTGAATTGATCACTTAAGCCTTAATGACGAGAGAAATTAACTGAGACAAGTCGGAGGCGTGAAATTCCCCCGCGTGCCGCAGTTCACCAGAAAGCCACGCTGCAGGCAAATGGACATCGAGTGAATTGAATAATTGAGCGCTTCTTCGCTCTCTCTCAATCCCAAACCTCCTGTTTCCCCTAACACCCCCCCGCCCTCCTCCTGTTTCTGATTTCCCTCCTCACTACGTGTGTTTATGCTTCCTCTGTCTGTCTCCCTCAGGGACTTTCTTCCACGTGGATCGGGCATTGTTACCCGCAGACCTCTCATTCTGCAGCTGGTCAACAATAAGGCCGGTGAGTGCACGAGTCCACACAGCAGCAGCCTCAGGCCACGCCAGCTGTCTGCTACTTGCTGTGCTCTTTGATTTAATAATCTATTTTTCTTTTACCTTTTTGTCCTAAATGTACTTCACTTTGCTTCTGTGTGTAGAATATGCTGAATTCCTGCACTGCAAAGGGAAGAAGTTTGTGGATTTTGATGAAGTGCGGACGGAAATTGAAGCGGAGACCGAAAGGATAACAGGCTCCAACAAAGGAATCTCTCCGATCCCTATTAACCTGAGGGTCTACTCCCCTCACGGTAATGGACTCTGCTCTTATCACAAAACACAAGTGCTGTTAACACTCTGCTATTGTGTAAAGTACATTTTGCATGTTGTATGCATGATTTACCAAATGTTTCTGTACTGTTGATACCAATGTATGTGTCTTTTTAAATATATCTGGTTTTATTATTTGCACTGCGATTGTATCTAATCAATATAGTAAAGTAATGGATGGTTTTGATAAGCCAACCCAACAGACATGTGGTTATTTTATCTGTAAATAACGTTTCAGTTAATTATAGCAAAAGGGAAATATCACAGTAAGGGAAATATCACAGTAAGTATCGCTTACTTATAGCGTAATTAATAAAAGAACCACAAAAGCCGCTTGTCTAATAATTGAATGTGTTATTTTTTAATGTCACTTTTTGCTTCGAGCGAAATTCACCATCGAATTTCCTGTTTAATTCTGTGCGTGAATGTAACACATAAGTAATATGACCTCACATGGCAGTAATGTGTTTATGAAGTAAAAAACTAATTAGAACAACGCAGACATGGCCCTTTTTTATCGAGGAGGTTTGGAATATTCAAATACACGTCTGTCACATAATCCCCATTTGGGTTTTCAGTCAAATAAAGTATGTCAAATCATACTAGAAATCAATGGATATGGAATCGTATGACTTACAATAAACGATAATTTACTATCTGTCACCTCAGCTGATGGACAAGCGTCTTTTATTTTCAATTCTCACCTCTATTGCTTGTGTCCACGTTGCTCAGTGCTGAACCTGACCCTGATTGACCTTCCGGGGATGACTAAGGTTGCCGTCGGAGACCAGCCTATAGACATAGAGCACCAGATCAGGGACATGCTGATGCAGTTCATCACAAAGGAGAGCTGTTTGATTCTGGCCGTCACACCCGCCAACACCGACCTGGCCAACTCGGACGCGCTGAAGATCGCCAAGGAGGTGGACCCACAGGGTGAGCGTGCAGCTCTCTAGCAAATCAGAGGTTAAGGGTGCTCCGGAGAGTTGTGTTCACGGGTTGTCTGTCCGTAACGGCATCTCTGTTGCGTCTAGAGGGAGTTTTGTCATGTTTTCCAGGGGAAACCTCTCAGACTCACATGTGATATTTGATTTTTAGAGGTCAAGGTCCCTTTAATTTTACATCCGTTGTTCTCATGGAAGCAATATCCCAAGAACACCCGCAGGGAATTTCATTAGATCTGCGACAAACCTCCACTTGGACTCGATGTTGACATGATTGCAGTTTTGTGGTCAGTGTGACTTTGGGCCCCAAAGTATAAGGATGTTTGAACTGATGTGGTGTCCCGTTATGTTGTGCAGGTCTGCGCACCATTGGTGTAATAACCAAACTGGACCTGATGGATGAAGGGACGGATGCAAAGGACATCCTAGAAAATAAGCTCCTGCCACTGCGACGAGGTGATGATACCCACAAGAGACGCTAACAGACTATTGAGCGGGTCTGAGGTTTTGATTCTGAAGTGACTATTTGTGACTTTTTGTGTGCAGGCTACATTGGTGTGGTGAACCGCAGTCAGAAAGACATTGATGGGAAGAAGGACATTCGCGCTGCCATGGCCGCAGAGAGGAAGTTCTTCCTGTCCCACCCCGGCTACAGACATCTTGCAGAGCGCATGGGCACGCCACACCTACAAAAGACACTCAACCAGGTCTGCTGTCCATCGGTGGCTTTTACATCGGAAAGTGGGATTCCCTCCCCGACAAAACGTTGATCCTCTAAAACAACAGCGCCACCTCTGTCTGTCTCTAGCAATTGACCAACCACATCAGGGACACCCTCCCTGGTCTGCGCAGTAAGCTGCAGAGTCAGCTCCTCTCGCTGGAGAAGGAGGTGGAGGAGTACAAGAACTTCCGTCCAGATGACCCAACACGCAAAACCAAGGCCCTGCTGCAGTGAGTGCATCTGAATATTGCTGCTCATTACAATGCAGCACACTGCAGTGACTGTATTTACAGTGGAAAGCTCCTGGGTGAGGTAACTTAATGGCAGCCGTATTGGATGTATACTGCACACCGAACGGATGTCAGGAAAATCCAATGTTCATTTATCCAACACTTTCTGTAACCTAATGGTATTTATAGAGGTCGGTATATTAACATTCCTCACTTGAAGGGTAAAGCAAATTAATATATTTCAGTTATTTATGTTGTTTCTGGGGACCAACCTTTTTGAAATGACAAACGATTGCCACCCAACTAACCAAGACTAAGACATCATCTTAAATTTGCACAATGTCTGCGTAAACATTACCGCTTCTGACCATTATTATTGCAGGCACCAGTATCGCACAGAGTCTATAACCCTTTGGAAGTTCCACTCAATAACCCTACAGAACGAAATGTTTGCAGTGCATCTTTTTGGGATATCGTTAACTGTGGTGTCGTGTTTGTGCTTGACCCTCATCAGGATGGTGCAGCAGTTTGGTGTGGACTTTGAGAAGTGCATTGAGGGCTCCGGGGACCAGGTGGACACCAACGAGCTGTCGGGCGGCGCTAAAATCAATCGCATCTTCCACGAACGCTTTCCCTTCGAACTGGTCAAGGTCAGTGTGAATTGCAGTGACGTGTTCGGTATCAATCTGGCGTTTGGTCTTTAAAGCACTGTTGGATTTGTTAAAAGCATCACTTGAATCTTCTTCCCAACCCCATCTTGTCTCCCAGATTGTGTTCGATGAGAAGGAGTTAAGGCGAGAAATCAGTCACGCAATCAAGAACGTCCACGGCGTCAGGCAAGTGGAGCGCAATCGATACACCAAGCTCAGCGACCACACAAATTCTGCTTCAACACAAAACTCTTTGCTTCTGTCCCTCGTGCAAGTCGTCTACTCCAATTGTATATCAAGCCTTGCCTGGCCAACAGTACAGATTCAAAGAAACAGACTTGTCCTTGTTTCTACTGTCCCTCACCGGTTTTCTAATCCCCCTTTCCCCGCTCTCCAACAACTACGTTTTTCTCTTTCTGCCTGCCAAGGCGAGGGTTTGTTTTCCATAAAGCTTAGTCCCTTGCTGCAATAATTGTTACCATCAGGTTTCTCACCGATACTCTCTAGTCTGCCATATCTTATTTGTGGTTGTGTAAACCTTTTCTTTATCCTCACCCTCGCCTCTCCGGTTGTGACTGTCCACACATTTTCTGTTTTTATCCATAACCAAGCCTCTCTTTAGTCCTGTAACCACCCACCTGTTCATCTGTTTTGTTTACCCACATGCGTGTTAACTGTCCCGTCGGCCTGCCGCTGTGCCTCTGTCTCTCTGTGCGTCCTCAGAACGGGGCTGTTCACTCCAGATCTGGCGTTTGAGGTCATCGTGAAAAAGCAGATCATTAAGCTGAAAACGCCCTGTCTCAAATGTATCGATCTGGTCATTCAGGAGCTCATCAACACAGTCAGGCAGTGCTCCAACAAGGTACTGCCGGTGTCCAGCACCTCCCGACCCAGCCGAAAAACACGGGGTTGGGAGCGTCGCGGGTGTGGCTGAGGGTACGCCGACGCAGAACATTAGCCCCCCCCCCCCCCCCCGATCCCTGCAGTATCCAGAAAATATATAGTTCTCTCATTTAACAATAAAAGAAATAATGCAAAAAAAAAAGTTCTGCACGGTTTGTTCTCAGCCCAGCCCGATTTAGTCCCGTGTGCAGGCGGCGCTGTCGTGTTGTGAGGGGTGACGTGTCGTTGTGCACGTGAGATGTTTCGGGTACTGTGTGAGCATCTCCGGTCTCGCCTGGACAAGCTGCAGGTCTCATGGCTCAGTCTACACAGCCAGCAAAACAAAGGGGAGGTCTTAAGCTGGCATTTAAGACCTTCTGGATTTAAATTACATTGTCACAGAACAGGATGTGAGAGACCTGTGGCTTGTCCGCCTATGCTTGATTTGTCTCAGAACAGCTGTAAATGACTAACTGAACAAAGGCTTTTCTATTTATGTCCTCTATCTCTTTTCTGGCTTTCCTCTTTGTTTCTTTTCCCCTTTTTCTTTCTATCTCTTTTTCTCTCTATGCCGCCACAACAACTACATGCAATCTGACCCCATGACCTTTCAGAACGGGGCTCTTCACCCCTGACTTGGCTTTCGAGGCGATAGTCAAAAAGCAGATCCTCAAACTGAAAGAGCCCAGCCTCAAATGTGTGGACCTTGTGGTGTCCCAGCTCACGGCACTCGTCATGAAGTGTGTTGTTAAGGTAACCAGGGAAACACTTGCTGGGAAGACGTCATGAGAAGAGAAGGCTTTCCTCTTAGAGATGCACCGATCGATGGCTGATCAGCCGTGAGCGCCTGGTCAGCGACCTCCATCCGATTTATTGGTTTTTAGCTGGTTACACTTACAAGGAATAATGATCACACACACACAGTCAAATGTATTTTGCTTACACAGTGGCAACTGCAACACAATGTTCAGGCACACATGTTCTTCCGGGGGAGTAAATAAGACAATAGCTTGTAAAGTTCAAGTGATTTCTGGAGGAACAGCCTTAATTAAAAGCATTCAAACAACATTGAGGTGTATGTGAGTTTAACTGAGAAAAGCTCCAGGAACTTTGTGCAGTTTTTTTTATGTAGTCAAGGTTTTTCAACCATACAGCTGAATAAAAATAAAATGGAGTTGAGGCGGGTTTGGCTGAGAAAATTGCAATCGGTGCATCTCTAAGTCTTCTCCAAATGTCTTTTGTTCTTATCCCAGTAAAATGGTCAACCCCCTGTCATCGGTGTCCAGTGCTTCAAATGTGTGTACTGTCCCATCCCTACCATCCAGATTGAGCACTGATTCATCATTTTAAGCACGACGATCAGCCAACTGGCTCTTACAGCATTTGCCCCCACCCCCTTCACACTGCTTCCCCCCCTCTCTCAGAGAGATAGAGCGAGAGAGAGAGTCCATCTGAGGAGAGCGACCCAGGTGAAGCTCCCTCGCTGACCCTCATAGCAGACTGACATTCCACATCATGCTGAACCGGATGATAGTAATATCCCTTTGGTGCAGTGGAAGTCTGAATGGAGTGTTTCCATAGCAACGGTGCTCCTCTGCCACCTTGTGGACAGAGGAACCCGCTGCACATCATGAAGTAATTTCCCCTACAGACATAATCCACACATCCTTCCCCTCTTGTCTCAGCAGTTTTCCTGTGCCTCTCCCCAATCTGTCACATTCTATCTCCATCCAGTCTTCACTGATATCAACACCTTCAATCAGCTAGAGATGACACATGACACAATTTAGAGTCATCCCTGGCTGATACTTCATAATCTTTTAGAACAAACACACTCTGTGTTCAAAGCGTGTTTTTGGGTGTGCGCCAGTTTGTGTTTGTTTGAATATGTGTGACACTAAAATGTCACTTGACTACCTCTTTCCCTTTTCTTTGTTCTCCACTTATTCTCACTCCTGTTTCTCTCTCAAACGTATTGGTAAGTCTTACTAAGCTCTAGCCCACATGTCAGTGTGTGTGTTTGCATGTGTCTCTGTTCCGCGCTGCAGCTGTGTGTTGTGTTGCCTTTCAGCTCAATTCCTATCCCAGACTGCGAGAGGAGACTGAGAGGATCGTCACAACCCACGTCAGAGAAAGAGAAGGGAAGACCAAGGATCAGGTGAGTTGACTAAATGGACTATAGACTCAATAGTTTGCAAAATGCGCTCCGGTCAGGCTTTGAAAAAAATAAAAAATGCAGTATGTGCTCCTAAAATCTGCTCCAATGTTTCGTTGAGATGCTTGTAACACGGTGGAATCGTCAACAGATTTCCGAAAAGCAACTATTAGCATTCTGTCAGTCCCCATCTTCTGACTCCTAACTGAGTGCATTGTGGGACCCTTCCTCCACACATCGGATATGTTTTGTTTCAGCATTCGTCAAATTGAGAGCTATAAAAACATAATGTGGCCTTTCCGTTCCTGGATGCTGGCTCTTCATAGGAACCTAACCAAATGATTAAATGTCTCTGCGTGTTTGCAGTCTGGTCAGCCCTGCTGCAGTTTGGTGCTTAGAACTCAAACTGGGCATCAAAAGCAGTTTATAGATTTAAATGTAGATTATTTGATAAGCTTTTGTTAAATCTTCAAACATTTTCTTGAGATGCCAAAACTTCTTTAGGAGTTGCAAATTTACTTATTTTCCTTACCAAAAATCATCACTTTCACGCTGTGATTTTAGACCTTTATTCTTGTCTTGGTGCAGAAGTCTGGCAGAATAAAAGTGCATTGAGCCCAGAAACATTAATATCCACACTACTGACAGCCCAGGTTCTTTTCTTGTACTGCGGCAGATTGAATTTATATATTATAAACTGAAACTGAATACTGAATACTCCTCATCTACAATTTGCAGCACTGATGGAATCAGCCTGACTACAAAGCCAGGTCTAAATGAATCTTTAGATATCCTTTTTGTGTTCGCATGAAGTATTAAAAGTGAAACCGAGCACTTTCTCATTTGTGCCATCAGTGAGTGGTGTTTAATCGAGACCCCTCGGGCCTAATCAGGATGTTCTCCCTCTTATCAAGGTTCTGCTGCTGATTGACATTGAGCTGTCCTACATCAACACCAATCATGAGGACTTCATAGGCTTTGCCAAGTATGTACCCCCTCCCGTACCCCCCTACCTTTTCTAGAGCAACTTCCATCTTGATGCCGACAGCACAGGCATCGTGGTCCCCATCAACTACATGTCACCATCTGAGGTGCACTTGTGACTCTGCACGTTTACGAAGGAAAAGACTCGAAAACTGGCCGCTCAACAAAATCCCCCCCCTCACTTACTGTTGGCCACATGTTGTAAGCTGCACCACTTCAGTGTGGTGTAGCATGCCAATTAGTGATCCAGCCACATCAGAGCATGTCTCCCTGTGGGGGAGGTGGCTGCTCCATTGATCGAGGTTGCGTTTATTGGCCGCCTCGCCGTCCTGCATGCAACGCACTACCCACCCCACCCCCAAAGTCAATGACGCATGCTTGATATCTGGAAAGATAAACCTCCTGTCTGCTTAACGGACTCTGCAGTGTTGAGGCTGCTGTTTCCATTCACATATTTGTGTGTGCATTTTGTAAGTAATTTAAGTTATTAGAAAAGAACAATTCAATTGTATACAATTTCCGGGTGTTTTCCTGGCGACCGTGGCGCACGGAGTAGAGAGGGTCCGCCGGGAACCGCAGGGTTGGCGGTTCGAACCCCGGCTGCTCCATGTTCCATGTCGAAGTGTCCCTGAGCAAGACACCAAACCCTTAACTGCTCCCCGGCGGCTTTGCGGCTTCACACTGCCCCCATTGTGTGGGACGGGTTAAATGCAGAGAACAATTGTCTGTATGTGCAATATAATACTTGGCAATAAAAATGGTTTCTTCGCAACCTCTTCTAATCAGATTAGAGATTACAGGGCGAGTAGCCATCGAAACAGAACTTTGCATCAATTTTTTTCAACATTTTAAGAGTGCACTTAAATTGTGGAAAACATGGCTACTGTTTCTTTGTGGCGCATCTCTATGCGGTTTAGAGTTTGGGTTGAATTAACATAGTCCCTCGTTGTAGCATGTGGGTGAGTGGAGGTCCCCTCCTTTGTGTCGGCTGTTCTGTTGAGTAACAAAGCAAGCCCCCCGTCTCTGTGTTTGTGTGCGTGCGTGCGTGCGTGCGCGCGTGTGTGTGTGTGTGTGTGTGAGTTCATGCCCAGCCGCTGCATGGCAAGATTGCTACAGTGTATCGGATGTCAGCTAGGACTGTTTAACGGTTCTCATGACATCACTTTCAGTCTTGACTACAGAAGGCTGGATGATGGTAGCCCCCCAGGGTACAGCAACAACAGGTGGGCTCTCAGAAAGGGTGTGAGTGAGTGAGTGTGTGATAGTTGGGACAGTTTTACCCTCCACGTTGTCCAAAATCCTCCACAAGCCACTTTCACCTCGGAGTATTTGTGTAGCATTATATGTTCAAATGAAAAAACAGTTTTACAGAAATATTAATAATGCATCTTATTCATAACACACTCTTCATCAACAGATGTGACAAAGCCAGTAAAACATAGTTAAAGTAAAGGCTTGCTTCCTGAAATAAGAAGGTGTTTAGGCCGGTGAGTTGCCCTCAGGAGGTCAGGGAGACTGTTCCATTTGCGTGGCGCTGGCGGGCAAAAGGCCCGGGCGCCCGTGGTGCGCTGCTCGGTGTTGGCGACCCGGAGGAGCGAGCTGCTTGCAGATCTGAGGGTGGTGGTTTGGGGAGTATGTTGTTCTTGCAGATAGGGAGGTGCATGTCCATTTATGCATTTAGACAGGCATCTTATACAGGATATTTAAAGTTTTAAAACATAGGAAACCGTATTATAAATGAAAGTATATTACTGCAATAGTGACAGTATTGTGTATATTTTAAACGAGTTGTGTTTGCTGTGTGTTGCCATCAATACGTATTGTCTTTCCTGTCCATCTTTGTGTAATGACAGTGCCCAGCAGAGGAACACAGCTGCAAACAAGAAGCGGGCCATACCCAACCAGGTACGTTTTATCACTCGCCAGTGGCCTTTTCGCCAATCCCAGATTTAATCTCCCTGGACTGATGTCTCCCATTACCATTCCATTAGTCAACCATGGGAATGTGTATCATTTTAGCACATAGCCATCAATCCATCTCGACTGAACGGTTTTAATACATAACTCTACCCATTCCCATTGATTTATAATCCTCGCTCAGAGCCGTCTGTATTCACGATGTCACAACGGTCCCACTCCTTTTACAAGGTTTCATGCAAACTGATCTCTAGCCATGTGTTGATATTTCAATGTGTGTTCTGTAAGATCATGAAATGTGATCATAGCGTCAGAGATGGCAGTTTCCGTGAGTGGAGAGTTGCCTTAATGAGCTTAAAGAAGACTGCCTCCCTGCTTTTCTGAAACAAGTGTTTGTTTCCATGGCTATTAATTATGTGCTTGTTGCATGTGACCCAGGCATGTTGTTCCCCAGCAAAGCAACAGTTAATTCCAGAATTCTGTTGGTTTGTTTGTTACCTTCCCATTAACTCATAAGCACCTTTTTTGCATTGGAATCTAGAATGTGCATGGACATCGCACTTCTCAGCGGAGCAACAAATAGGTCATAACCAAATTGTGGTTTACCTGAAGTAATTTTAATTGCATGTAACTCTTGCTCTCTGTCTCTCTGTCCCTCTCTCTCTCTATTTCTCTGGTTGTCTCATGGATTGTTACTTTTTGTTTTCGCTCCTCCAAACCTGTCATCCCCACTATTTCACAACTTTCATTCCTTGCTGTCCCTTTCCCTTTTGTTTCTCTTCTCTCCATCCAACTCTCCACTTGCTCCCCTCTATTCCTCATCCTCCTCTCTCATCTTTGCTTGCTTGCTTTCATATTTCTCTTTGCCTTTTTCACTGCACCCCTCTGCTTTAACCCCCCCCCCTCCCTTTCACATTACTGCAGGGTGAAATTTTGGTAAGTACCACCCCCCCCCATTTAAACCGCAGCCTGCTAGGGGCAGCAGGGGTAGACCATGCAGAAGGACTGAGGCCATCACACACAGGTTAGCCGGTATGGTTAGGGTGCAAAAGAGCAGATGCTGCGAGATATCCGCACAAACCGTTCCCTGAAAACCCAGGAGTCGATACTGCACCGTAATGAGTTGTTTCACCCCTCTGCAGCTTGGAGGACTGGGAGAAGATGAGAAGGTAGAGTCTCCAGATTGACCAATTCCAATTACGGCATTAGCACGCAGTTAGTCACCAGTAATTTGGTACTGACTCAACGTGGCAGGGTTGCTTTTGTAATTCTTGGTTTCATTTTAATAAGACAGTAATTGTCTTTAATTGCACACATTCAGGTTGCTACTAACATCACCCTTTTCAACCACCAAATGTTTAAAAGGAACCTTATTTTATCCCCACAAAAGATTTCTGCACTTTGCAATGCGACAACAAAGAGAACGGGGACTCTTCCACCACTGACCGAGGAATGGCGTCAGTTCTGATGTGTCTGAGTGTGTTACCTCTGCTGCTGCCTCACGACTCAAGAGTTTGCCTTGTGAGAATCATCCTAAACAACAGCGGGGACCAAACGGGGAGGCAGCGGGGAGCCATTTAAATCAGTTTGAATTCAACGATTTGATTTATAGAGTGCATGCATGTTAAAATACTCCAACGTAGGTCTTTCATATTGAAAAGACCCCCTCACTCCAAATCTGTAATGACTATTTATATAATCAGAGATGATCAAAACTGCGTTTGGTGTGGTGACTGATCTTTGCTTCGTGAGGTTTTTCAGTGATTTGATCAAAACATTTCTCATTAAGATCTCTTTATTTTCACAACCTACTTCGATTGGCATGTTACTAATTATTCTCATTTCTTTCCATTTAAATCCTTCGAACACTTAAATTCACAAAAGTTGAATACTTGCATCTGATATGTGACATGCTGACATCTCAATATTGTCTCTTTTTTTGTCTACTTGGTTATAACATTTACAAGTGACTAAGACTTTGATTTAGGGGATTTAAACTTGGTTGGTGGTTCCTTGGTTCTGAAAGGTTTAAGTCATTTCCCCACCAAGGCAAACTAAAGTTAAGCCTCTATGCATGTGCTTCCTCTCTCAAGTTTATGTTGGCTCTTTTTAACTAACTAACCCCCCCCCCAAAAAATAACTGCCTCCAGTCTGCTGGATGGAAGAGAACACACTAGGAACCTAAGGCGGACTTTGAAGTGGACATTCGCTCTTTGCTTCACTTAGAATTAGAGCACACTTTTCACAGATACTTCCTACAATTGTACTTGAAATGTAGAAAAAAAGACCGACACAGTAGCCAAGAGGGCTGCTCTAGTTCTCAGTGGTTTACTCCACTCTGCCTCTCAGTCTGATGTATCTCCTCCCTCTCCATCTCTCACCTTTTTAGATTTTCCCTTTGCGGTTGAGATTTTACCTCGTGAACCATTTAACCCTACTGACCTTGCTTCATTGTTTTTACTTGTAGGCCAGCTTTTACTGACCCGCTGATACTGACATACCGCCATCACTGTTTGACTGTGTCTCTGTGTCCGGTTAGCATAGTCTGGACATCGTCTGGTCCTGTTTTTATGTTTTAAGTATTTATTTTTTGTCTGCTAAACCATTTTAATGCCTTTAGCCCATTCACCTTATCATACACATTGTGTATTCCATTCCATGTATTAGTCCTTTGTTCCCTCCATTGCATTCATTCAATACAATTCACATTCAACCCAAACCAAACTGTGTTATAGTGCATATAGTGCACCTATAGGCATACTAATGTCATGAAAGTTAAAACATCCAGATCTATAGGGATGTGGCAGGTAAGTAGGTAAGCTTTTAATAATCGCTTTCATCCCAGTAACACTTGTATCTCACAAAAGCCTGATTGACAAAGTTTCCGCCCCATCCTCCTGGTACCCCTCTCTCACTACACCCTCCCCTCTCTCTACCATCTCTCATCTCCATACAGGTGATCAGGAAAGGCTGGCTAACCATCAATATCAGCATCATGAAGGGGGGCTCCAAGGAGTACTGGTTTGTCCTGACTGCAGAGTCCCTGTCCTGGTACAAAGATGATGAGGTGAGAGGAGCTTCAGTGCTCCATTCCTGCGCACATGTATATCTAAGATAAGATGACACATGGAGATACAGACGTGCGGACCAAAGGTGGCTGGAGGCGTGTGCGTGTCCCAGCCCAGCCTAACCAATGTGCAGACTACTGTTCAGCTGTAGCCGGATGAACAGGTAGTCTGAACACTGGGCAGGCAGGGGGGGGGGGCGGGGGACCGCGATGGGATGAAGGACCCCGGGGTCATTGCGGCTGCAGGTCGCTGCCCTAGCACAGTAGGACAGAGGGCACAGAAGCAAACATTACCCCGGTGAAAGAAGAAGACAAAAGTAACATAACACTAAAAGCATATATTAATTGAAGTAGCGCTTAATATGGAAATATAACTTTTTCTAACTTAGTTATAACTTCCTCTATAAATGAAATCCAGACCCAGTTGGACTGGATTCCCCTCGGGCCAACTACGTACACTCTTACTTATATCATCTATCATCCTGTATCGTCTCTTCAAATGTAACATTCAAAGACTCGAAGAGCAACTTTTAAGTTCACTGATCTTAAATCCAAGGATCTAGTTTTACTGATGAGTTGATTTAAAAAAAAAAAAAAGTACTGATTTTAATAAAATAGATCAATTTCTCTAGAATGGTGATGTGGGCAAATACCTTTTTGTTCTTGTTTTACTCACCGCTTGATCTTCCGAGGCCTGAATTCCAGAAAGATAAAAAGACCCGGCAAAAAGATACCACTGCTGGGGAGGAAAACCGCTTCTGTGGCCTGAGTGTGCCCAAACAGCGAGTGAAAACAGTGCGTTTCTACGTTGGTTGAGCAAAAGCAAAGAGGGAGGATGGTGGAGGAAAAGTGACGTGGCAGGCGGGCTGAAATGTTCCAGCCGGGAACTGACTTTGGAATTTGCAGGAAATCGTACTAGGTTACGGGGGAGGGGGGTCAGGGTTTGTGTGTGTGTGTGTGTGCGTGTGTGGGGGCGCTTGTCCACATGAGTGGTCCAGTATCTTTCACAGTGTGGCCAGTGGATTGTATCTATATGAGTGTGTAACTTTTCTCACACCGAAATCCCATGATCGCTCGTTCGATTCCTTCCTTCCAGTTACGTTTGGTGCGCGTGTCTGTGTGTGTGTGTGTGCGCGCGTGTCTGTGTGTGTGTGTGTGCGCGCGTGTCTGTGTGTGTGTGTGTGTGTGCGCGCGCGTGTCTGTGTGCGCGTGTGTGTGTGCGCGCGTGTGTGTGTGTGTGTGTGTGTGTGTGTGTGTGTGAGTGGTGGGGAATGTGTGAAACGGTGAGTGATGTAACTCTCGGGGTTTGCGCTGCGCTCTATGTGCAGATGTAAATGCTTCCAGATGTCTCTGCTCAACAGTGAAAGCTGGCACTCCATCCCCCTAGGACTCCCTCATGCTCCGCCTTTTATTTTCCCATCATGCACTGCTCCGTCTCCACAGCATGATGGTGGTCCACATTAAAAGATATGCATCGCATCAAATCTACCCATTGATGGAGAATTGTGTTTATTTCCATTATAAAACTGTACAATTACTCCCTTTATGAAGTTACATGTCGTTTATTCCAAATCAGATCTGCTGTAAAGACATATTTCGTCTGTCTGCCTCTTGCTAGGAGAAAGAAAAGAAGTATATGCTGCCCCTGGATAACCTGAAGCTCAGAGATGTGGAGAAAGGATTTATGTCCACAAAGCACATCTTTGCAATCTTCAACACCGAACAGAGGTGAGGTTTATGTTTTTATTGAACACATATGTGTGAATTACACATGCACCTTTGTGCATTTAAACTGCCGTTCCAAAGTTTGGAATCCTGCTACAAAAGATGCCGGAAAGGCATACGGGCTTTAATTGTTTCACATTGTAGAAAGTCTTCACAAGTTGTTTTGTTTACCCATTGTACAAAATAACCTCTTATAGTAGAGACAAATCTACCTCAGAGCAACAGTTAAAATAAATCACCAGTCATTGTTAAATAAAAATGGAAACTGAGCATCAAAACGTGTGGCGATTTAAGTAGAAACAGGTTGCACTATGATACACATAACCAGCTGTAATATCAGAAGATGTCCTTTTTTTTAGCAAAACCTCTCTTAAAAAGACTCAGTTAAAGGTAAGTATAATATTAGCACTATAGGCATATCAGCTCATTACAATTACTATATACTATTCTGTATATAGTATCATGTTCAATCTTACCACTGGGTAGACTGCAAAGTGTTCAAATGCAACGATTCAATAGTAACCAAAGGTCTCTCCTGCTTCTCTGGACTCTTAACTATCAAAATAAAATGTTTTTTTTTGGGGGGGTGGTTATGACCGTATTCTTCCCTGTCATGCAAAACTGTACTGAAACATGTTTTAAAGATTTAAAGCGTTAGTTACAGTCTGTGTGTGTGTGTGTCATTTGTTCATCTGAACAGGAACGTGTACAAGGATCTCCGTCAGGTAGAACTGGCCTGTGATTCTCAGGAGGATGTGGACAGCTGGAAAGCGTCCTTCCTCAGGGCAGGCGTCTATCCGGAGAAGGACCAGGTATGTGCCTGCGGCTCCACGCTTCTCCGCGCTTTCTGGTCATCATTTTTTTAAATCTACAGACGACAATTCCGGAGATGTGTTTACCCTGTGTTTTGCGTGTTGCTAATTGACAGACGGAGAATGAAGACGCGGCCCCCCCGGACACATTCTCCATGGATCCTCAGCTGGAGCGACAGGTTGAAACCATCCGCAATCTGGTGGATTCGTACATCGGCATCATCAACAAATCCACCAGAGACCTCGTGCCCAAGACCATCATGCACCTCATGATCAACAGTGTGAGTCCAACCGTCCTCAGCAGCAGACACAAGCCAAACACGCAAGGGGAAGCGAATTAAAGAGATCATCAGGGTCCGTTTCCGTGACGCTGTGAGCTGCGTTTCACTTCTGGGTAATTTAGAGAGGAAGTCTCTCGCGCTGTCACCACCGCTATGCACAGCGAGAGTACAGCCACACCCAGGTGTTGGGCTGCCAGTAGAAGTGTATCCAAGTAGCTACATCGTTCCTTTAACAACCTAAACGTGAACATTTCTCAGTGCTACATGTGACCGTAGGAGTGCATGTTGTTCTTCTGCTTGGTGCTTCTCCTACACAGCAAATAATGTGTTTTTGTACAAAGGTCTCTCTGTGTATGGTGAGGTAAAAGCCTATTAGCAGTGGATCCTGACAGTTATCTGCCATTATCCAGCAAAACGTGGCATCCTATTTTCTTTATAAAAGTCATCAAGGCACCTCCTGGACTAGCGATCCGAGCTGGGACCAAATAAAGTTCTATTTAATTGGACCTCAACGTCACTGCACCATAGAGCCGTGCAGTGTAGCGTTTCGTTATCTTGTTCGTTTAAGTAGCAACAGCAGCCATGTTTTCACGATGTGTCCATGAGCTCAAGGTCGTAAACTTGAAGACACTAATTAACAGGATTTATGGTGCATGCTCCCAGCGCCGTGTCCACTGTACATTTATTAGGTTTCATTATTGTGGTGAGATCACTTCTCACGGCTTCCCACAGTCCAACAGCTACACACACACAAATACAAATGCCATACAAAGTTTTTTGTTTTTTTCAAGGCAGCTCCACTCTCATGGGATTCTAATATTTACTTGAGAATCAAATATCTCCAATTAATGCATTGCCCCCCCCCGTTTCACTTCTGTCATATTTACATATATATATATATATATATATATATATATATATATATATAATTTCCTCCTTATTTTTAGCAGTGTACGCTGCAACCCTGCAGTATTTGACACTTTTAACTTCCATTCAGGCAAAAGATTTCATCCACTCAGAGCTGCTGGCCTACCTCTACTCATCTGGGGACCAGGGCACCCTCATGGAGGAATCTGCTGACCAGGCGCAGCGCAGAGACGAAATGTTGCGCATGTATCATGCTCTCAAGGAGGCGCTGCTCATTATTGGCGACATCAGCACCGGTACCATCTCCACCCCCGTGCCCCCGCCCATAAATGACAGCTGGAGGCAGGAAGCCAGGTGAGGATGAGGTTTGGTCTGCCATCTGGAATAACCAGTAATGTATTGTCACACACTGAGCATTTTCTGTATGGATGAGTAGGTCCATTCTCCTTGTATTATTATGCCTGCCTTGTTCCTTGTGTGTATTATGTCCATTTTTATTAATCATATCTCCCCCTCTCAGCCCCACCCCTCAGCGCAGGCCGCCCCCCACAGCTTCCGCGGCCCCCAGCCGTCCGCCCGCTGCTCGGGGCGCCACACCAGGACCGCCCATGAACCCTTCCCCGGCTTTTGGAGTTCCGCTCAACCCCTCCCCCGCCTTTGGTGCACCCCCGATTCCCTCGCGGCCAGGACCTCCCATCAACGCTTTCAACAGCCACCAGGATCCCTTCAGCGCCCCCCCGATGATCCCCTCCCGGCCGGCCCGTGTCCCGCCCGGTGTGCCCAGGTACGTCCTCTGGTTGTCACACCCTTCGCAATAATTTGTGTGCGAGTTGAGCAATTTTTACCCGCAACGCAAACTCAAACTTTTTTTCTTTTCGTCTGAAGGTATCGTTTGTCCTCACCAGTTATCCCATTCCTAATGTTTTAAAATGATTTCTATGCATTCATATCCTTCACTCCCCCCTTTTCTCCCTGTCGGGTTGTTTGGTTTCTCCTCTCTGAGCGCGTCTCACTCCTTGTTCTGTATCTTCTCTCCCCGTTGCAGCCGCAGACCCCCCGGGGCTCCTTCTCATCGGCCCACCATTATCCGCCCTGCCGAGCACTCCCTTCTAGACTAGACCTGTGGCCACGCGTGTGTGTGTGTGTGCGCGCGCGCGCAGGTGTGTGTTTGTGTGCGTGTGTGCACACTCAAGGCCAGAGGCGGGGGCTCAAGGGGAGGGGCTAACTTATAGCGGTGCATAATGTGAATGGTATTAACATGTCTCGAAGCAATGTGCTTGTATCAGTGCACATGAACACCAGAAAGCCCTTGCTGTGGAAATTGTGTAATATAAAACCCTGCTGCTGTGTTGGCTGCATCTAGCTTCTATCGGTCAAAGATGATCAAGATGCAATTCAGTTTGAGATCTTTTCTACTATAATAACTTGTTTATTTCTTCTGACAAGGTTTCCAGCAGAAGCTCGTTAAACCACTTGTTAACCGTTGCAGGCGGGCTTTCCTCTCCCCTGCCTCCACCTTTTTCGATTGGCCGAGACGCCCACATCTCATTTGTTGTTGATTCTTTACCGTATTTTCCTTTTAATAACCAATTCCTAATGAAAAATAATAGCCACTTACCACTGTTGTTATTTTGGTGCTGTCACTTACCTTTTGGGTTTCTTGTTATTTTATTTGAGTGGCTTTGTCTTTTTTTAATGGCTACATAAATGTCGCTTTAAAATCCTAATAGCAGAAAAAGCAAAGAACACAAAAAAAATGACGTTGCTGTAAACTGAGAAAATCCGAAATCCCTCTCTGTGAATTATCCTTCCACAATGAATCAACCAGACTGGCCGCTGTAATTCGAGCACCCGTAGGCACGTAGCCTTACAACCAGCCACTCGTAACTGGGGGCGTTGTTGTCCGTTACCAGAGCGCCATGCACAGAAACCCGGCAGGGGGAGAGGGACGGGCCGCAGGCCGTCAGCACTTTGTGAGATGCGTTCTCTCACGTAATTCTGAGTTTTTAAAGCCTTGAATTATTCTAATCCCTTTTAGTCTCCGTTGAACCCCAAAGGGACCTCTGGCCTTCGGGTAGGCTTTGTTCATTCCTGGATTAACTGAGTACAGATTCCTCTCAGCGAGGGTACAACTCGGCGGTGGGATGTAGAGCATAAAGATGTTATTTAGCGTTCAGGAGATGGCACATCACTTTCTGGGCTGTCAAGGACATTTATTCTTCTGCTTCCATGCATTTAAAACATTGTATATAGCTGGCCTATACTGGGGAGTTGGCACTTGTATCTCATTTCATTTGCCAGATTGGTGACAAAAACACGGCCCAACGTGTTTTAATGAAACTGTCGTTGTCACAAAAAAAGGAAGCACTAGCTGCCATTTCATACGTTAGACTTGGATGCAGGGGAGGAGAGATTGGTAATCTCCTGATGATAAATTATTTATAAGTGGGGCTTTTGTCATTTCTTTGGATGTTTTTTTTTTGGCTGCAATTGTATTTGCTTTGTAAAACTCCCCAGCTTCTCCTGGACTTTAATTTTGGGGTTGTGCTACAGGGATTAGCTGTCTAAATGTATTGTTTGTTTGTATTGTTTGGGCACGTCGGGTTTACACATCATCTACAAAGCTGATTCTCTGATAATGAGTATCTTTTGATCGCTCTTAAAACCGTTTCAGGAGAAAAGTGTGGGGAAATCTCTGTGGGGAGGGGACGTTGGGCGACTGGGATGTTTTCTGTTTTTTTTAGATTTGATCAGTAGTGGTTGTGAGCAGTAGGTGGTGGGAGTTGTGGTGTATAACGAAGGCACACTGTCTACATAAGCTGTCTGGACGTTTCTCTCTTCTCACCCCTGAAGAGAGAAATTTAATTTAGCCAACTGGAAAGATCAAGAAGCTGTAAAACCTTCCCAAATGACAGATTGCTGCTTGGGACAGATGAACTGCTTGGGACAGTTTGCCTTCTCCCCCCCGCCCCCTCCCCTGTATTTCTCTACAGGTCTGGCTGTCAGTGACCGTGTCAACGGGATGAGCTCACACAACACAGCGTCTTTAGATTGTAGACCGCTTACATTAAATCCTCCACAAGCCGCTCAAAAGTTAGTGCTTGTCACTGTCACTGCAGCCTGGACTGTAATGTCCTAGAGTGTGATGGCTTGGGGTCATACTGCCTTTCTTCCTAATGGTTGTGCCCTGTCTCCTTTCCTCTTTCCCTCCCCTCCCTGTCTGGACCCGTCAGAAGGGGTTGGAAACCAACCTGTAAAAATCTTCTTTTTTTTTCCTTTTTGCAAATCTTTGTCAAGTGCCTCTGTAGCAATGCAATGATTTAAATACATGAAAATGGACTGATTTAGGATGGAGAGTAAATAAAGAGGTGTTGTGTACAATAAAGGGACTGGCTCTGGTGGTTGGTGTCTCCTTTTGTCTTGTGTGTTCTACTTGCACTTCTCTCCCGCTCTCTTGCAGATAAGAGTAGTGTTTTCCTTTCTTCCCTCCCTCCATCTAAACCAATATAGTGTCATAAGCCTGCAGTTGTTCCTATGGCAACCCCTCAACCGGCCTGGCTTAGAGCGGCTCGCCTAATCAACACTGTTCTTTATGCGCTGAACAAAAAAAAAATCCCCAGATTTTACTGTGACTCTTTTAATGTCCAAATAAAAGTAGATCATCTTCAGTTTACTGTATCAAGGCAAAAGAAACGCTAGCAAGGGAATAGGGATCTTTATAGACTCGGGCCATCTAGTTCACTCCAAATGAAGACAGCCCCAACATTTTTACACGCCTCTTTAAATCTTCAATTTTTGGTTTGTGCGCTCATTAATAAATCCAGGTTTGTGTCTAGTCATATTCTCCAATTAGACTAGAGGAGGATCTTCAAGCCCGCTCAGATTGCCTCATTACAAATGCCTGTGCTGTTCCAGTGACTGGACCAGCAGTGTTAAAGAGCATGTCCCAAAATTGAGAGATTAATATTGGTTGATTGTTCCTGAACAGGCGCCCGGCTCCCCGTCGAAACCAGTGGTGACCTCAATCAGCCGGAGGTGGACATGAAATGACTTCAATCCGTGACAACAGCAGGACAACAGAAGGACTAGAACTGAAAATGTTAGAGCTGCAGAAATCTGTCAGTCAGCATTTCATGCAAACCTGAAACTTAGTACGGGATTTTGTCTGTAGTGAATGTTGGTAAAATAGTTTGGAGTCTTTGCACTGAAATGTAGTTCAACATGTAAATCTAAAGCAGATAATTTCAGTTTCCTACTTTATGCCACATTTTCCCTGTTAATTATTTATTTGGACAAAGCATAATTAGAGATAAGTGCACATCAAAACGTACTGTACAGTGACTAGTCATAAAGACGGTTGATGTAAAATGAGATATTTATTATCGTTGTAGCATAGTTTTCCTCATGGAGGAGGAGAACCACTTAATGTGCTTTATGATGGAAAATGTCCATGATGCGGCAAAAGCTGTGCCGGTAAATTTCAAAAGGGAGACTACAGACGTAGTGGATGAAATGCAGAATTTGTATTGCATTATGTATGTTTTTACCGCAGTAACCAAATGACTGCAATGCATCCAAATGGCCAAAGAAATGAAGTTTGGGCCAAAACTAACTTGCCATCTGCATAACTTTAATGAGTTCTGCATATTTAATCTCCAGATGGATGAACTGATCAGGGTGATTTTTTTATATAATGTATATTTTGTTTCTATTGCAGTAAAGATATATGTGTGATCTTGTGTTTTTAACAACCTGGGGGTTAGTAAAAAAAAGGTGTTCTGTTGGGAGGTTTCTGATATTTTGGTTTGTTTTGGCTATTGGTTTAATAAAATTAAAAACCTCAAATAAATGTTCATGTAAAATATAGCCTGAAATTCCCACTGGGAACGGCTGTGATTTTTAGTTCAGCTAATGAGATCAACAAATAAAAGTGTTTAAAGTGCATGTGTTAGCTGCAGTAGTGAGTCCTAAAACCCGAATAACACAAACATGAGTCAACGTTCTTTCACTTCCGGTTCCCTCCCCCCAGGTTCCGGTGCCCTCGCGCCAAGGTCAACCGGTTTCTCTCAATATTAAAACGATTAAACATTTTTTTGCGAAATTAAATATCAGTAAATATCGGAGTAATTTCTTTTTTTTTATATCCCTTTAATTTTCTCGATGGTAAAGTAATGGAAAGTTTGAATTTTTACTTTCTGAGCAATAATAATCTTATCGTTTTTTACAACTCAAAAGTAATATGGATGACTTAATCATGTTACGTTAGGGTCAATACATTTTTCAATAACATATAATGACTCAAAATGTGCTCTGAAACGGCAGAGCAGAGAATTAAAGGGTTCAAAGGTGGCAAACGAGCAAAAAAAATTAAAATACCAAACGTCTTCAATTTCAACCCAACAACACGAAATCCAATGTTTTAGTCGAGGGAACTAGCAGTCAACTTCCGCAAATAAAAACCTATTTAAATATGTTTTTCAAGAGTGTGAGGTGTCCCTTTAAAATCCAGGTTAAATTACTGAAGGTATATGGGTCCAACTTCCATCCGCAGCGGGAGCAGATGTTTCCGTGACTACGCGCGCATCCGCCTGGCGCCATCGAAGAGGCGGCGCAAGGTGTAGATCTGAGTCACGGCGACGATGAGCAGGACCAACACGTTGAGGCAGGACCAGAAGGACACGCGCCACAGGTTGTCCTCCAGCAGGTGGCGATCCCTCGCCTCTCGGGTCCGCAGACCCGTCAGGACCTGGCGGCTCCTCTCCAGGTCCTGGTGCACGGAGTCCAACCTCACCTGGAGGACGAAGCACAGCAGGGAGGGGGGGAGGAGGAGGAGGAGATGATGATGATGCGAGTCAGTGCTTGGGGTGCGTTCCAACATAAAGTTTTCTGAAGGTAACTGCCTGCAAGCAGGTGCAACAACTCAATGTTTCCCCCTCTCACCCTGATGTCCTCCAGTTTGTAGTCCACCACGCTTTCTGGCAACACCACGTCACGTTGGCCTCCGTACGCACCGCTGCTCTGTCTATTTGCCGTCACTCCGAAGAACACCATCTTCGCTGACACTTTACTGAAGCTGTTGTCGAAACACAAGCGGTAGTCTCCGTCCTCGGCGGGATTCACCCTGCATGGAAGAAAACGGGTGTGAAACCTCCAAAGGACGTCAGTCATGACAAATGCCTTTTTGTAAATACTGCCATCGCGAGCGGTGGGTAGTTTGACACAGTGATACTTTAAAGTGACCCACATGTGGAGGCCCTCAGAACTCCTGAAGTCAGAGACCAGCCGGTGTCCGCCGGGCGAGACGAGGACAAAGCCGACGTCCAGACCCGACCCACCAATCACCTGTGAACGGCACAGAAGGGCGGATGAGGTAAGTCACCGGATGAGGATCTGCACGCGCGCCATCTGATATACAACACGCAGCGCGCTGAGCTCCCAGGAGCGGGCCGCAGTGGTAATAAATGGGACAGTAGAGCTTCTTTGCGTAGGGAAACTCTCTCTCTCTCTGAAAGATAAGCTCAGTGTCGGATAGGGGGGGGGGCTGTGCAAACACAGGCCGTTGTACACCGCGAGGCCGCCTCTGAGTGACCCACCAGCAGTGATGGGCCACATGTGCAGTGGCTTTGGATATTTGATCCCGTTGAGGAGGTCGTCATCGTGCTGAGTCATGTTTAGTGCTTTTACGATGCGTTTTCTCTGGGGGAAGATAAGCGTCTTCCACGACGGCGGCAGTGGGTTTCTTATCCGACTCAAAACCAAAGTCCAAGGTTTGTCAACGTGTTTTTCCCAGTGAGCAGTGTTCACGCACTTTAAAAGAGTTAATCAAAACTTTGACTCAAAGAGACACACACACAACGAAAATAATATTTACCTGGTATTCAACTTCTATGCTGTCGTTCTTCGCTGTAGTTTGGTAAAAACACTCAGTGCCGCCGGCAGGTAATAGAAACGTAAACTCCACGTTTTTGTTTGGCCCCAGACCCAAAGTCCAGTCTACAGCCCGGATGAAAAGCGCCAGCCAGAAGAGCTCACCGCACGCCTTCATCATCCCCGGCTGGCGGTGCACAGTCCATGGAAGCCACTCGCAATCCAACCTTGGGCCGCTGCGTCCTACGTCGCTATGTCACGTACATTGTGCTTTGTGCAATGAGTGACTTGTGGTTTGACGCCGGGTGGAAAAGGTTGTTGGTCCGTGATGTGAAGGAGCGGAGCCGCTGTCCTCCTCCCGGTCTCTGCGGTCTGGAATGCAGCCTCATGCAAAACTGCCCGGCGGAGGTGTAGCGACATACCTTACGCGATAAGACGCGTGACGAGGCCCGGGGTGGGAACGTTTATCGTGTAAGGTGGTTTAGATGTGCTTACTTTTTCATCGCTCCTCGTGCTTTTATAACTGGTTAAAACATGTTTCTATTTGATCCATTTCTCGTACAAAGTGCATGTTGTGTCCTCTTCTATCATACAGGGGGTGCAGATGGGTCAAAGCAGACAAATGAGACCGTCGCACTCTCGACATCGTGGACGAAGTAAGGAAGAAGTTTATATGGGTCAAAGGTTTTCATAAAAACGAGTGTTCAGCATTCAGGTGTAGTTTGCTCGCCCAGTTCAGGGTGCAGCTCAGTTTATTTAACCTGCTTATTGCTGCTTTTAGTTAGTTTTGCGTCTTTTTCCTCGCGTTTGTTTCACAGAACCAGCTTTGTGACATTTAAGCTCGCTTTTTGTTCAGCTCAACCTGCCTGTCACCATCTTCTTTTATATAACAGTAATAGGATATAACAATAATGATAAAGTAATGGATTAGATTATTGTATACATTGCAGTTCTTGCTAATTACATATTTTGTGTGTCTGGCAATATTTAAATAAAATATTAGTGATTTAAACGTGTAACAAAACATCCGTGTGTAAAATGAAAGCCTAAAGTCATAAATTAGGTTAATGAAAAAGAAAAAAGTAAAACCATGTGAGATACATCAACATGGTTTTTGTTGGTTGATAAAATAGTAGCGCTGAATTATGGACCTGATATTGAATTGTTTCTAAAAATCTATAGATTGTATAAAAAAGGAAATGTATGTTTATTTCCGATACTTCCATTTGCACCACCACAAGACCTGCTTACGGGAAGAACAGAAATACTTATTTACGCTTATGTCCCTTCAATACCGACAAAAGGGGAAGTGAAGAATATTGGCTAATTTTTTTATGCCACGTTCAGATTTGTTTGCTCTTTCAACAGTTATTATTGCAAAGGCTTTTATACTTATAATGAAAAGATTGATTGTATTTGTAGGATGTGTTCGTGTGGTATCAGAGACGGGGTTCAACAACAATGTGAGAATAATCTTCTAGAAGATCACTTGTCAAGGAAGAAGCGATACATGTCAGGAATCAGGAATCAGGAATCAGGAAACATTTATTAGCCAAAATATGTCAAACATACAAGGAATTTGTCTTGGCGGTTAGTGCGCGACAGTAGACAGACAAGACAACAGTGCACAAGTAATAAAATAAAGTGGAATGAAATGCTAATGCAATGGGTTAGTAGAATAAGGCTAAGGCTATGGGTTAGTATAAAACAAGGGAATAAAGTTAAAAAAATGTAAACATTAAAAAGTTAAAAAGAAAAATATTAGGCATAAAGTGCACTAACGAACAAGTAACAGACAAGAGACAAAGTGACAAGTGAAGTGTCAGTCTTAATATCACACAATATCAGGTTTTTAATTGAGTTCATCTTGCCGTGTCCCCTCGCGGCCTTCACTGGTCCGGTGAAACAATTCCAACAAAGGCCTCAGGCATCACTAAGGTCTGCAGTGTTTCAACGCACGCAGGAGGCTAAACAGGCGACATCTGGATGCTAGACTTTATTCAGGTCAATATCTGGCAGACTAAAAGACAAGAGACAGACAGAGAGAGAGAGAGAGAGAGGAAGTATGAATGTGGGCCTTGCAACATTGCTATTACAGTAGTGGGTGGGTGTGAAGGGAAGGTTAAAAGGTGTCGTGCTATGTTTGACTCGTGTGATCGTCGCCTCTCTTCTTCGAGGCTTCGTCACCGATCGATTGTCAGGAAAAGTCATTTTGATGTGTGCAGACACACGAGGTGCGTGAAACATCTCCGCGTTCCACTTTCATCTGTCACTCCTTGTGACGTAGGCTCTCCACTTGAGCCAACCAGAGGTGGGCCCACCCTCTTTGCTACTTCTGACACCCCTCTCTTGTCTCATTTCGTCCTCCTTCTGTCTTCCGCGGGCCCCCCCCCTTGAGGCAACAGCATCCCGACCACCTCTCCACGCAGATTGCAATTTTAATTTCCGCTTGCAGAAAGAGCGCCCTGTAGCTATGACCAAGGGTGGATATCCCCCCAAGTGCGTGGTGGACACCTACACCACCCAGCCCCCGGCGACCCCCAGGCCGAGCCAGGGGGCCCGGCAGGCTGCGGCGGTCCAGATCGTGCTGTTCCTGCTGGTGAGCGTGGCGTTGTGCGGCCTGGCCATAGAAGCCTGCTTCATCTACCATCTGTGGCTCCCGGGCTCCGTGAGTGTGAACGCCGTCTCTTGTGTCCCTCTGCTGCCTCTTTGGATTTACTTTACCACGTGATCTCATTCGGCCACGACTCACTTTCAGTTTTCTTTTACAGTTTTGCTCTTTTCTCCCGCTAAACGTAAAACGCCTTTTTGTTTCATTCTGTTCTGAACGCCTTCTATTTCCACCAGTTGGAAGAGTTATTCTGCTTTTCTCTAAAATGTTGAATACATCAGTCACATGTACAAATGAAATTACTTTTTTAATGTCAACATTGTGAGTTTTATTTATTAAATATACAGTCTGCAGATTAGAATTGTGACAACAGTTGCCACTGTTCACATCACCTTTTAAATATGTACATATTACGGAGCGACATGCTGCGGGTGGGAAACCGCTCGCTAAACTAGCCCTGTAACCACAGCGGAAACCTCCGCTGTCCAAAAGTCAAATTTGTGATCACAGATATGCAGGTAGTAACATGATGGCGGTACTGGGCCGCACTGAATCACATGAAGGATTTTCTTCCTGCAAAACTGCTGACGCTGAAATTATTTCACTATAATGGGGAAGAGAGTAGAGAAGTGCGGCCCATTTCTTGAAAATCCCAAGGAACCCGTGTTGTTCAGCGTGGCGCTGACGTGGTGTTTTACGATTGGGTCTATTTTCCTCCATGAGCATGATTTATTAGCTCATTACAAGAAAAAGACGCACCCGTCCTACTTTGCTCCGTGGAAACATTGCAGCCAAACAAATCTCAGATTTTAGGATTTAACGTGCTCGTAGTTTTCTTGCATCCCTCTCTAACAACTTTGTTCAAACAGCGGCCATTTGCACGCGTGATGATGTATTTCAAATGCATATTTCATGTATTTACGTATTTATTCATTTATCTAATTTTGACTAAAACGGCATTCCATACTTTCCCTCCTTTTACAGGCCACCTCTGCATCGCCGTCTAAGTTAATCTCAGGTACGTCTCTCAGCACCTGTTGCTTTCGTTGATGAATATTGCCTCAGGTTACTTAAGCCACATGAATGACGCCTTGTTGGGTCCTCACACAGGTCCGCTCGTTCCTTCCACCCCGCAAACTCACCGCCTCGTTATTCCTCCTTCCAAACCGGTCGCCCATCTGACAGGTGAGACAAGTGTTCATGTTCCTCGAATTAACGCCGCGTTGGAAGATGGCTCATATTGTTGTGGCCGTTCTCCTGCGTACGGCATTCGCCAGTGAAAACCCTGTTTAAAAAGCGATGAATACGTAATCCAATGTGCTCACGTTGTCGCTGTTTCCCCCCCAGACGGACAAGATGTAGTTCACGAGAAAAAGGTCATGGCGTGGAGCACACAGGCCGACCCCCTCCTCTATGAAATGGACTACGAGAACAAACGTCTCGTTATTCAGAAGGAGGGTTATTACTATGTCTATTCCAAGGTTTCCTTTGTGGACGTCCATTCTTTCACCCACTCTGTTAGTATGAAAACTCAACTGTACAAGGGGGAAAGTATTCCCCTCCTGCTGTCCACGCGATCCTCACGTGGGTCCAGCGATAAGCAATCCAGCAGCTACCTGGCCGGAGTGTTTCACTTCTACAAAAACGATGCGGTTTTTGTGGAAGTGAGCGACACCTCACACATTGTGCGATCCAAATCTTACGAGAATGTCTTCGGTGCATATATGATATAAATGTCACCAGTAAAAATAAAAATAAAAAAAGTCGACTACAAATTTTAAGATGTTAATAATAGTTGTCTTGAGAAATGAAAAGTAGACCCATGACTATAAACACCGGCAGGTGTGAAAACCTCATGGAGTGTTATCGAGGTTGGGGCAGTGCAGGGGGCTTTCCTACCGCCAGTGTGAGCGTGAAACCTTCCGTTTTAAAGTGTAAACATTTTTTTAACTCTTTCTTATCAGAGATTTCTTTTTTTCTTGAGTCCTATTTGTCTGAATGTTGAAAAATGACTTGTCATGGACAGATTTTTAAAAGCTTTTGCACATTGTTCTGTCTTTTACTGAGTACAAACATATGTTTTATGTTAATGCCGAAATTAAAAACATGCAAACTTTCTACATTTGTATACATTTCTTTTCATTCTCGCTGTAACACACAACGCACTCTCTATTTATTATTTCAATGGTTGAATACATTATATCATTGCTATACTTTTTCCTTTTTTATGTGCAATAATGTTTCTGAAAATAAACAGATAATGATTTTCAAAAGTCATGCTCTCTTCTGTCACGTAGCTGAAATTCACTCGTTTCCTGTTGAGTCAGATGAGGCTGTGCAGGAGCATCTGCTCGGTGGTCTCAGTAGCAACATTTAAACCCACTCGGTCTAACCACACGACGGAAGAACAAAGCGCTCACGTGTAAACCAGAATGGGTCGATGCTAAAATGATACTGGGCGGTGCATTAATATAACATGACAAATGTACCTGCATTTGAGAAGCACCAATATGTGCATTCCACAAGTAGACGTCTGAAGAGGATTGTTTTCAATTCATCACCAAATCACTATGGTGACAAGCCCTTTTTTTTTTCTTCCCCTCTCTTGTACCTCACACAGTTACGCTTTCCCTTCAGCTGAGCCTGTTCGAAGAATCTGCTCTTGAAAACACCCACAGAGTTGTATGTTTGTAAACTGAAGAGGAAGTGGTGAAGGGGGCCGATGGGGGGGGGAGACATCAGCAGCAGATTGCCTGACTCAATTTCCAACCCCAGACCCGGACAGCAGGGGATGGTGAACACTTGTTGTGTGTGAGTGACTCATTATCTTCCAGCGCTGGCCGACCTGTTTTGAGGTGTCACAGACTGTAGCATCAGAGGAGGGGAGGAGAGGGGAGGAGAGGGGAGGAGAGGGGAGGGGGAGCTGTATCAGCTGTGGTTGGGATTCCTGCAGTTGGGTTTTCTCTCATGATAGAACATTAGTTCAGAGATTACTTTTACAGACAGTCTGTGTGGGTTGACAGTTCTCCCTATTTGCCTCTTATCTAATTATTTTCTCTTTGATGAATGAAAGCAACATGTTCCGTCGCCGTCACGTTTCCATCTTTGGAGACAGCGAGGAGCCGCGTCTGTACACTGGATGAGCAACGTGTGGCGCCTGTAGAGCAGAACGTTTTTCATTTAGCACAGCAAAAGTGAAAGGTGGTCCTGCAGCACGCGGTCCACAGCTAAATGCTGTCCCCTTGTGTTGGTCTCTGGAGTGCTGATTATACGGACCACTTTGCTGTTGAGTTCACTGAGTCATGCCGCGCTTCATGCCTAACGCATGCACATATTTATACATTGTGCTCTTTAGTGTATGTATATATTTATTTATTTATTATCTGTAGCTTTGTGGAAGGAGGGCATGGCAAAATAACAAAGTGACCTGTTAAACTCTACATATGACAGTAAATATCTTGAATCTTGAAAAAATCTTACTGTGACCGTAAACATTTTAATTCTGGCAAATTGATTATTATGGTGAGTGACATGTTTTACCACTGAGCTTAGATGCTCATGTCACTCAAATATCACACATTGAAAAACACGTCTGACATGAGGGTGGAAACATCATGCATCCGCAGGTCTCTACGTGGATGCACAACCCGACATCCGCAAAGCAACGGTGGGAACAAACCAGCCCAAGCAGAGGCCTTTAATAAATGCCACAGAGTGGGTGGTTGATAGGCCCGTTGTGTGCATCTGAATTCAGCTTCTTGGACCTCTCCTCCTCTAGCAAACGAAAGCTGTGGTGGTGGAAACAGCTAATACAGATATGGGACTGTGGGGTTGAACAGTTCTGGAACAGTTTTTAGATGAAACCCCACTAACTTGGAAAATACGTGTCTGTGGTGATGACTAACCTCCTCCAACGTGGCTTTTTGTGTATCTTTGTTGTCGCGTCGGACAGGATGCTGGATGTTTGTTCAGATTCAACTTTGTTTTCTTTCTCACAGACTGGAGGTAATATTCTTCGATAGCATGCAGCATACAGGAGGGTTTCCTTCTATTAGTGACTCATTGTCTGCGGGGTCCCGTTGTTTTGTCACGACCTCTCGCTTTCCCTTTATATTCAGGGTCTTGAAAGTGACTCACAGTCAAAAGCGTTCAAACACAACAAATGAAACCGTAGGTTAAAAATATGTTTTTTAATAGGGAGATTTCTTCCAAGGCAGGTGTCACATTGTGTGTGTTGTTAAGGTCATAATGCGTACACATCATTGTTTAAATGTTTCCAGAATAAATACTTTTTTTCAATGCCCATTCAAACTAACGGGTGGCGATCAGCTCCCATCGACGAAGCCAAACATTTCCTCAATAACACGAAACTTTACACATAAACCACCACAAGTTGTGATTTCAGGTGTCACAATGTGGTAGTAAAGAATATCGAGCTGTTCTCTCAAGTCTTCACTTTTCATTCTAAAGGAAAAAAAAGTTGTAGTTTGTGGACGTGATTATTAAAGGACTTTTCTCACAATCATTACAGATTGAGTTAAGATCTAAATATCCCATCACGCCATGTTCAAATAAGTAAACCAAAGCTATATTTTGTCGTCTTTCTTAAAAGCTTACTAACTATGATGTCTAGTTTGTTCAATTTTAGCAAACGTAAATAATAAGGAAAAGACCTCGTCACACAGTGACATACATTAATTACTGTTATTTGCTTTTACTGTTACTATTAACCTGCACATGGAATGTTGTTGAATACAGCAAATATGTGTTTATTGTACATATTGTAGTTCCAAACAATGAATAAATACAACATAAATATCATTTAAACTTTTCATTTTCATTAACTTAAACTTAAAAAGAAAGTAGGAAGCAGCAAATAGAAGCTGTGTTGCAAATAACAACAAATCCACCAGCACTTCAGAATGATAATACGGTCTTCAACTAAACAACGAAAACAAAATACAATCAAGTGGACTGGTTCACTCGCTCACAAAAAAATGTGCTCCTCGATCACAGATGTTTGAGGAGTAATGAGAATTGTTCCTTTTCTAACATGGAAATCCTCCCCAAACAAACAACATACATCATGTTTTTTTTTTTTGTCTTACACCAAAGTGTTTTTCGTTTTTTTAAAAAGTCTTTAGCACCACATTAGAGAAGGCCAATTTGGTTTTCGGGGTCGATTTCTTTGCGGTTGTCCACAATTTAAAAGGGTTCACCCACAGGTTTACCCAGACTGTGGATTAAATACATTCTTAAGTCACCCTTCGGACTGCAGGGGCAAGCGACGAAGACAATAAGTAAACTCTCTCTGGACGATTGCCCATCACCGTACCGGAGCTTCATCTAAGGCCTCACCATGTAGATGATGTCCAGGTGGGTGAGAGATTCATTGATGGACAACCCAGCGGTGGTGGTGACCTCCAGGGAGCTCCCTGCGTACAGCTCCTCTACCTTGCCGACCAGCCCCGTGCTGCACGTCTCCTTGTTAATCCAACCCTGCATGATCACTTTGTCCGCCCTCTTCATGAGGACCGTGTGCTGCGATCCCACCTTGGGACATGAAGACAGTGTCACCTGAAGATTCAGGAAGAAGTATCCATCCCTCCTTATTTTCAAAACCTTTCCTCCCTCTTCCTCTGAAACCAGGCCTTCATCGGGACTCTTTGCCGACCATTTCATTTCACGGTTGACTGTCGGGGAGAGAAACGCTTTAATGAGCTGTGATCCTGTTTTCTTACAACTTCATTCTGAATATGTATGTATAGGAAATTTGTATCTCCGTGTCCTGTCAGCATTGATGGAATAACATGTGATCAAATCTGAGGTGCCGGAATGACTTTTTAATCTGTATTATCGACACAGTGTGAATGGTGGTACGACTTGATATCTGAAGCAGCTTTACCTTCAGTGGCCTTGAAGGTCAGCATTTTGCCTTTGCCCAAGAGAAGCCCGTGCTCGGAGGGGGACTGTTGAAAGAAGAGGAGATCCAGTTAGCTCCATATATCTACATTAAGCACGGCGCCACGCGTGTTACAAAGCGTGACGCTTTTGACGTCCATCTTTACGGTGACGATAGGATGAATCAAACACAATCCTCAGAGGGAACACAAAGCGACAACTGTTACAGCTCTGTGGCATTTCCCCGAATGTGGTCAGGACGTCACTGTGCTTCCTCCGAGAGGTGAGGACAGCGGTTAGATCGTCTGACGTATTGAGACGTCAAGGTATTTTGAGAAACAGCGTTCCTGCCAGATGTGTGTGTTTCTTTGTTTTTTTAATGGTGTTATTTCAAAAACACAAGAACAGAAATCACAGTCGCACGACTCCTCAATCACCAAGGACGTGTGTAACACAACGGTCAACGGGAGGAGCGCAAAGTCTCTCTTACCAAAGGTGTGTCGTTTGCCTCGAATTTCATTGGGCTCTCTGGTGTTACACTGCTACCATTGTGAGACTGAAGAAGGAAATAGAAGAACAAAATACGCTCAAAACAACAGCATGATAAAATGGTTCAAGCGCATCCTGGAGAATTGAGGCGGTAGGGGATGACGATCCCACTCCAGATGCTGAATTCATATTTCGAACGCTAGACGTCAAATGTAGAACTTTATATCTATTTTTAAATAGCACCAGATTTAATCCATTGTGGGTGCGTTTGTTGTGTGGCAAAGTTTCATCTCTGGCTTTGATGCTGCGTCGATAACGTGAATATTTCTACTTTAACATTATGCAAAGAGTTCCCACTATTTGGGAGTCATAATAGGGGTCGTTGTAACAAGCTGCAGGCAACGTCCACATGTACTAACAAAACCACAAGAAAGAGCAGCAGTGCTGCACAGATGTTTTAACATGCCGCAGCTGTCACTTCATCCAAATGTGCCGCAGATGCACGGATGTACACGCTTGTAACTCATCATCAACGCTCATAAAACGCCGTGTCATATTCTGTGAATAAAATACGGGGATACTGTTTTTTTATTTAAAAGAGGTCTCACCGGGCCGTGATGTCCAACCGTGAAGAAGACGACGATGACCACGACCTGGACGATGGACAGCAGGGCGATCCACAACAGGAGGAAAGGGATCAAGGAGTGCTGGGTGGACTGCGGCATCGTCAGGCCGGCGGCAGAGCGCGGGGCAGACGGACGTTTTCTAGCTGACAACCGTGCGAGTCCCGAGTTTCCTCTGCTGTGCAGCGCGCCGGCGTGTTTGTCTGCTTCCTGAGCGCCGTCTCTGCACGCAACGAGGACGTTTGATGTGGGTCCGTGTTCAGCTGCGCCCTAAGTATCTATAGAATAAAGAGGAATCCAGATGGTGCTTTCCCCCCCCCCAAAAAAACACAGAAGGCCCAGACAATGCTTCTGCATCTTGGGGCTGGCCCTTCACTCCCACTCACCGTAATTCATGCCGAAAAAGGGAACGCAACTCACCGCCAGGAGGAGAAGGAAGCAGTGAAGAACTTTGATAAGAATTCATTCCAGAATGAATCACTCAGTTCCTTATTTATGATGAGACTTCATGAAGCGTGTTTGCGTGGTGGTTGGCGTGCGTATAGTGCTCATCCATAAGTTCCCCTTTTTTTCCCTCTTCGTGTCTGTTACAACACGGGGGATGACGGTATTTATCATATTTAGAACCACTGTAGAGCAGATAAATGTGTGTATGGGATTATTGTTTATTGGAACAGTAACGCAAAAAATGAAAAAAGGATTTTTTTCCCCCATCAAATCATTCTGTGAACTGTAGAAATAAAATGAATTTAAAGAACAGAATGAAAACTGTGTAATAGGATATCTAACTGTCCAAGCAAGTAAATTGAGATTTTAAAAATTTTCGTTTATGGTGTGAATCACAAATGTCATAATATGTTGTTTACTATTTGTACTTCTTTAAAAATTCCCACCTGCCCAAAAATATAAGGTCAGTGAATATGGTTTCACTTTCTCTGCACTTTGCTTGAGGGAAAGTTTCATGGCAGCCAAACAGGATGGGCTCTACTTCAGGTTTGTGTCATCAAACGGAAAAGAGGATTCTGACACAAAATGGTACCTGCGGTGTATTCCTTTATGCTCAAGTAGCACCATAATAAAATATGCCCAGACTTGCTACTGACTCTAATTCGCAGTGGCTGGAGGCCTTTGTGTGCTCGGTAGAATAGAATAGTATTTGAGTTATGTAACAGCAGACAGAACCCTTTATTTAGTCACTCGTTATTGAGTCATGTACACATTTGAATCATAATGAGTATTTTTTGACATATCACAAACATGACAAAAATGATGAGGGGAAAAGATGAAATTTCAACAATGTCTTATAAGCCTAACTACTAAATTTTCGGGTGACAAATCAAATGTCGTACGCCTGGATGAATCATAGATTCATTGAGAGAAACAGAGGACATGCGGGTGGATTAATCATTACAAATGATATTTTTATACATAGGTTGGAGTGGTTGAGGGAGGATTATGGGCTGGAATAATTACGGAAAATGTGACAGGCTGTGACAACGTCAACGGATGGAAAATCAGCTCAGGATCGAATGTGGGCGATGAAGATGTAGATAGTCAAAGACTGACAGGGACTGCAATAATGGAGGATATATATATATATATATATATTAATATATATATATATATATATATATATATATATAGAGAGAGAGAGAGAGAGAGAGAGAGAGAGAGAGAGAGAGAGACATTAATGCATGACAAGCCCCTATGCCCTTTAACACACATCACAAAGTGACATCAGATGAGTGGAGAGGGGAATCAGTGGGACTCTTCATATCCATTCAGCATCAGTTACTACTGTAGTTTAGTACAGTAAATCCAAATGTTTACTTCCTCTTGACTTTCTGGCCCCTAAATGATTATTTACAGCCATCTAGTGGATGCAAATCAAAAATGCACTTAAAATGGTTTAAAACTAAACCCACTGCATCACTCACTCTTTACCCGTTGTAAATCTAAAACGGTCTATGAGATGCTTAAATTGTTCATTCATTAAGACCAAAGCTACAGATAAAAAACAGCTGTGGTGAAGACACATGTTGAGAAATGTGCATAAAAGTACATGAAATGCTAACTTTGTCATCCCTATGTTTCTCTCAGAAATGGCACGAGTATAAATGTTTCATTAATGGGACTAAAAACTACTATCAAGTAAAATAATGCTTTTATTGGACAATTGAAAATAACTGGGCCTTTTTCACTTTCCCTCCCACCTTTTCTTTTTTTCTATCTGGCACTTTACATTTCTTCTTTGAGAAAAAATAATAATACTAATGCACATTCAATCAGCCACATGCCTAAATTCAAGAAAACAACATATTTTCTGGACGTTTGTGGGACAAACAGCAGCAACCTGCAAATGGAAAGGCTGTGAAACCTCTGGAAACACTTCAGCAGCGGTGCTTCTGCCTCTACAGCAGGTGGCAGGAAACCTCTTGCACACAGCTGAGCAAGGCACTATACTGCCACCAGCAACCAGCAGGGCCGCGGTTAAACTAGATCAGAGCTGGATATCTTTGATATTATCTTCCCAATCCAAACTTTACAGCGGTAAACCAGAGGTAGTGGATCAGCGAATCATGGAGGAATCAAATGACCGATCCAACCAAATGATCGCTTGATTTACGGCATTCTAGTTGTGGCATTTCATAATGTTTCATTAAAATAAGCTTCCCGATGGAAAGTCTGCGTTCAGCGCGCGTTTCGTCATTGCCCGTCCCGCAGCCAAACAAACAGGTCAAACAGCAACAGTCAATATTATGGACAGATCCAACTGCAAAGGCGCGTAATGCATAACAGCTGATTGTTCTGTTGGAGAAAGTTTATTATTACTGTTCTCATTTGTGCAAACGAAATGTCCTTAAATCTATGAATCTGGTGGTCCGGAGGTCGTGTCCCGGTGTGGGTGGGTCAGTTTAAGTGGATAAGTTGGTGGGGGGCACTTCAACCATCGTCACGCAGCTGTCAGGGTCAACGGGATCGAACATGTTGCCGTGAGCCGCGGGGCTCGTCCGCCCGCATCGATCTGGATTTGGAACCAGCGGTCTGCGTCAAGCCACAGTCGACAACACCGGAAGCGACACCGCCTTCTCTTTCAAGCGGCGCCGGTGTCCCTCCCGGCCGCCCGACGCGCGGCGAGGACAACGCGCACTTTATTTTGAAGGGCCAAGCGAGGCGCTCTTGAACCCGCATGGGACGTTCGGAGACCCCGGCACAAGTTTGTCGTTACTCGGTCGACGCTGGCTCGGATGCTCGGCTTGCCTCATAGTTCCATCTAGCCTCCACCCCCCCCCACCCCCCTCTCCACCCCACTCTCCACCCACCCTCCGCGCACTCTTGCTCGTGGATGAAGAGCGTGCCGCGTGAGGCTGAAGCCGTCGAACTGCGGGTGACATGGGTCTGCTGCACGCGCGGCGGACGGACTGACCAAAACGCATCGGGATCCTCACGACGACGAGCCCCGCAGTAAATACATATACATATATATATATCTTAAATATATATATATATAGTCAACAACAAAACAAGTTGTCATTAAGTTTATTTAGCTAAAGACATGCAGAAGTTTAATTCCCCCGGCACGCACGGCAACACGCTGCCCCGGGACGCGGAGCTCCAGCTGCGGTTAGCTGACGGCGGAGGGGCCGGGGACGGAATGGAGAACGGCGGGGGGAAGCATTTCCTCTCCAAAGCCGAGGAGGAGAGCTCGTTTTGCACCAAGAGGAAGATGCTCGTCGGTTTGGATTTAATATGCCTTTTTGTCGGTAAGGATTAATGTGTGTTCACGCCTCTTAAACGAATGCTTCAAACCGTTTTTTGTGTGTGTTATTACAGTAGGAATGCGCATAATAAGACCACTTCATCACTTTTTTTGCATGCACAATAACTTTCTTTCAAAAGCACCCTACACACACTGGTCTGTTGATTTGCACGCATGTGCGTCCACGCGAGATCGCGATCGAGTATTTGGAGGTCAAAAAGAGGTAGAAGGAAAGTGTGGGGTTTTTTTTTTAGCGAGAAAAAAATCCCCCACATTGCTTGTTGATTTGTAAAAGGGATTTTTCCCAAGAAGTCAAATTGAAACCGTTCAAACGGGCTGAAAAGTTTCAGCTCAGGCGGGTGGGAGGGAGGAGGGCGATGGGGGGGGCGAGGGAGCTGGCAGGAGCAAAGTTTCCCCGGGAATGAATCTGTTCCCATGGTAACTCCTAAAGTTCCCGCGAGGAGAACGTGGGAATTGGGATATAAACATGCGTGCAGAAGATGACCTCTGTGGCTGCAGCATCGGGCCGTGTTGGGATGGAGGCATGTGCGGGATTATAACTCAATAACATTCACCCACAGAAAAACTGAGAAACTTAAGCAACAACATGTTGACCTCAACTCCAGCGTATTATAGTTTCAAAATACAGAAAAGCAGAAAAGGTCGGCCTGATTCTGATCACCTCTGTGGGCCGTGATGAGATGTCAAATTTGATCGCCACTTTCAATCAATATGAAGAAGCACAATATCCGTCTATCATGTTAGTTTGGATAACCAGCTGTGTTAGACTGGACGTTCCCTTAGCGAGACATATAGCTAATAAATTACTGTAATAATGAGGTTCCACAGAAAAAGTTTCTTAAATGTGGCAACACAAGAATAAGTCAAGAGTTCCGTCTTCAGAAGTGCATAAAGTTGGAGTTGAATTCCATTGACCTGCAGGCTGCATATTATTGGTGTACAGAAGGTCGGACTGGTTTGTGTGTTTCAAACTACAGCGTTGCATCTTCTTGGAGATTTACGCGTGGAAAAAGGAAATTTGGCAAGAATCTAGTGAACTGAAGTCAGAGCAACGGACCAGAGGAAGAGGAACAATATTTCTCTCTTCAGCTGTCTGACACTTTAGGGAATACTTGAATGGAATCTCAGAACCTCAGAACCGTACTGGACTCTTTCAGCAAGCAAAGTTCAAAGCATGACTTTCCCCTCTCCGTTGGGTCTAATGGGTTAAATCCTGGGAGAGGAGGGGGGGGGGGGGTGCACACCCGCTCTCCTGGCCGGCGATATCACATATGATATTGTATAACTTCATCGGTTTTGACGTCGGCATCTCACATGACTCTTCGCAGGGGAAGGGATCACCAGGGTTCAGTCGAGTGAGTTGTTATCCGCACCGGCAAGGAAGGACGGGACAGGCGGAACCCGTCGAGGCAGCCTGGCAGGTCCTCGGCCTCGTCGCCAGTGGAAGCACAGGAAAGTTTGATGGTTTTTAACCCCCCCACACCCCTCAGGCAGGTGTGCTATTAGCCGCTCGCTCGGCACTTTTTTCACAGTGGCTGTGTTTGCTGTTTGGGAAGTGGCCGGCAACCCAGCATCCGTCAGCACCGCGGAAGGAAACGCTCCCTCTCAGTTCTCCTCCTGAGACGCACGCCACTCGCTTTCTTCTCAGCAATGTGCGTGTTCCTCCTCCTCCCCCTCCTCCCCCCTCTAGGTCACAACACTGAGTCGCTGAGCCTCAAGCTGGTCGCAACCGAGAGGGTTTCCAGAGGCGGTTCGTCTTGTGACTGAAGTCGAAGGGAGTTCATTCTCTTCGCTTCAAGTTCTGGCTTGATTTGATTGGCTGACAAATTTCCAGCTTCATTTGAGGCTTTTCCACGTTGTAAAAGGTGTAAGGTTGAGAAAAAAGAAAACGGAACGGAAACCGGAACGCTTTCCAGTTGATCACCACATGCGGGGAATTAGAGCATAATGTTTAATCATACATTACAAGCTGGACGTATGAATTCACCCGTTGACCAGATTCCTTACAGATGTCTGGCTGTGTCTCGCCCGTCTCTGCTTCCCTTAACCACCGTGTCAGTAATCAGTTGAAGCATGACCTTGACTCATCTGCGGGCATTCGGCAGTGAATGCCAACACTTAGAGGGGATGAATCGAGCCCTTTATTCAGCTAAACCCGCTTATCTCTGACTAACACACTTTTCCCTTGAAAACGGCATCCTCAGATTCCCTCAGACAGTCGACCCGCCGGCATCATTCATCCCATTAAAGGGGCTCATTCACTAGTGTAACTGTGGAATTTTTACCCTGAAGCATCCTCACCGTGTTACCAGCTGAAGAAGGACTCCGCAGTGACCCTCAGGGTTTTCCCAGTCTATTTACTCCACATTTACAGTGGCGGCATAAACTCCGCTGGGTCTGCTGTGCCACGCCGAGGCCTTGGCGGGCTCATCCGACATTGTTGTTCCCCCAGCGTTTGAATATGGCGCCCCGCTCTGACATGATGGACGCGGCACAGAGACGGATCGCTCAGGTTCAGCTCAGTGTCAGTTATCTCGCACACAAGCTGCAGAATGCTTGTGCGTTCCCATGTGTGTGTGTGTGTGTGTGTGTGTGTGTGCATTCCTGGTGGGACTGAACCAGGTTTTGACGTGGACGGGGCCTGACTGAATCTGCGCCCTCTGGCCGGATCTAAGATCTAGAGTCCAGACACCCCGGGTCAGGAGATGTCTGGGGTTTGTCCTATCTAAAGAGCATGCAGAGACAGGCCTCCCAGCCTGCACTGCTGCTTCCCTCCTGCACAGGTGGTCTTTGCTCTGTCATCACCCCAATAAAGCCAGTCATTGCCTCCGTTAAGGGTAATTGGTAAATGATTGAAAGTGGCGGTTGATAAGCCGCCATTAGCTTCTACAGCTTAGTGGTTGTGACATTATGTGGATGCCGCCAGGCACGACCCTCTTGTGGAGGTTAATTGGGAACTAGTTTCACACTTGATATGCACAAAATGTTAGGTCAAAATGAGACAAGTGAGAAGAAAGAAAAGATTCACACTGTCGATAAACGGCACAGACGAGCAACTGTTCAAAGTAAGTCATTCATTTTCTTCAGTAGTGAAAACAAAACCAGCTTTATCATGTAATAAAAAGTTAGTACTGCAATCAGCTTATTTGCTCTTGAGTGTTTCTTTGTGCAAGACGTGAGGCGTCATGCTTCATGAAGGACGGTATCTAGTTCAGTGATCAGGGTTCTGAAAAGGCTCCCTCCTTTCAGCTTATCATCTTTTTTCTGTGGCTGCTTCCCCTCTTTTCTTTAGACAAACTCTACACCGAGGCTGAAGGTGTTCCGGCAATGCAGCGTTTTGTGTGTTTTGTGTGTACGCATGTGTGTTTTGGGCGGGCGGCGGATTTATGACTCCTAGTCGTGTCCTCTGGGAGAGAAAGCTGCCAAGTGAGAAAGCAAGAAGCCCAACATGTCACAGCACGTTGGTTTGCACAGCGCCAGGAATATTGAATTGTCTCCCGTGTGCTTATTAATGCGTGTGTGCGTGCTTGTGTGTAAAACTTTGGGTGTGGGCGTTTGTGTGTATGCGTCATGGTGGCTCCTAATGGGGACACCCTACAACAGCTGCCATGTGCGTGCTGTTTGTTGACAAATTAGCTGGTCCTGTTTGGCTGAGAGTTTTTAGGCCGCGATCAACCCACGCTCTGACGTTATGGAACACTCGGGCGGCACTTTGCGACGCACAGATGGAAAGCCATTAAAGGAGCTCAGTCGGACCATTAGTCAATGGAAGAAGAAGAACTTTTTCTCTCCCTCTCCGTCGTAAATCTCTTTCCCCATTTGACAGCACCGCAGAGGTTCCGGAATCCATTAGTTGCACCCTTCCTCAGACACACGTCCTATGCGGGCACGTGCACTCCGCTGTCAATACGCCCGCCTTCGCCCATCAGGCCTTAGAAACGTCTCGTTTGCCGGAAAGCTACGGGGCGAGGAAGAGCCTGAACGAGTGAAGAGCCCTCAGGGGGAGAGGGAGGGGGAGGGGGGGGGGGTGTAGAACGAACGAAGGGTTAGAAGGGGATTGGAGATCTACAGTAGGGGTGAGAGGTCAGACCCAGTGGCGCCAGAGGGATCCTTTCCACAGCTCTCTTGTTTACGCCCCGTAGTGAGGAAGTCGCTCTGGGACGGATGGACGGTTCCGGTGGCAAATAGCTTTGAAATGTGCTTTTAACGAGGCGGCTGGATGACGGTTCCATAAGTGCTCGGGGCGGTCCATAGGTATGAGCCGTAATGACCAAACAAAGATGTCTCCAGTGCTTTTATGCTCAGTGCTCATTAGCTGGAATGGATTTTTTATTGAGAGGCTTCCAATCAAAGTATCTCGCTGAATCTGAATGCAGCCAGTTGCCTTTCCTTCTGGTCCATCGAAGTAATGGCTCGTTCTCTTGTGTGTGTGTGTGTGTGTCCCTCGCCCTCCCTCCTTCCTATGGGGAGATAGACCCCCTTGGCGCCGTGGCATTGTTCCGCATCACCAGCACCTTTTTAATCATTGTGTCTTTTCCCTGCTTCATTCACCCTCGGAAGCTTCCCTATGATGTTGTTCCACCTGCACGCCCCCCTCCCCCCCCCCCAAAACGGATCTCAAACTCTCGCCATCCACACGGAACGACCACAACCATGCCGCGTGGCGCCAAATACCTCCCCTCCAGTCTAGACCACAACATTGTGCGGTTCTCACATTGCAGACTGCCCGCCCTCATCCCTCTGCGCACACCCTAACCTTCACACGGCGCGTCACACGCGAGAGCTCCTCCAAAGCGTCCCAGGTACATACCGCAGTGGCGGGTCCTCTATGATCCGGCTGATTCAGACAGGCAGACAGACAGCCCACTTCAGACCTCACCACTCCTGCCCTGAACTCCAGGGCCGGGCTCCAGGAAGCCAGCAAGTGAAGTGTGGAGAGAACAGAAGCAGCTGGTGGAAGCATGTCTCCACTGGCCAGCTGTA